CAACAAACTCCGCGGGGATTTCCAAGTCTTCTGAGAGGTAAACAAGAACACCACCATTGCGGCAGTGATTCCAGAATAAGAAGAACTGGGGCTGAACAAGACCAGAGGCATTCACACCCACCTTAGGTAAGACCGGAAAGACTGTTACCTCTCTGTCTTGGAGTGCCTCCCCAATGGCCTGCCCCCAACCAGTGCGACATGGAGCAGACGAATTTGACAGAGATGCAGAACTGTGAAGACTGATAGTACTCAGGGGAAGGCATCGAACGTGCACAGCGTGGCCGCTGCCCCTTCCTCGAGGACTCAACGAGAGTCAGGCGCCCCTTCCGCACAATGCGTACTTTAGCTATGCGCCTACACAACACAATCGAGTTGAGAAGCCACGAAGCGACACGATGTCCACGACCCTCGAACTCCATCTCCCCCGGCGTCGACGGCGATACAAAAACTCCTGTTCGAGTCGAAAGATACTAGACTTTCTCGAGGATACAACAGAGACCGGTAACACCCACGCAAGGCGCGACCAGGAGACACAAGCCAGCCACCGAAGGTACAGGCTGCTGTTAGGTGCGCATACCACATGGCTGGGGTGTCAAGGAAGACGCCGAGAGTGCTCGACACGGAAGATCTGGTATAATATGGATACCTTTGGCCGAAGAAAGAGAGGCGCGAATTCAGCCCTTAGGATACTGACGAAGTGTACGAGGTATCACTGCCTTGTCGCTACCTCCCAAGACCATGGGCAAATGGCGGAACGACTCGCTCAAGTACTGGATGTTTTGACCAGACATAAGATCTCGAGTCGTCTACGGTATCTGATGTTACACCGATTGCTGTAACTGCATCCCAACACACAGAACGCACTCCAAGCCTCGTCTGCTTCGTAGCAGTGTAGCGTTTTTGTAACATAACAGAAGACCAGTAGCGTCAAAGAGGGGTATAAGCCACTGACTATCATCGTCGACACATCTTTTGGAGCCATCTCCGCAACCGGGTGTCTACCAGTGATAACGACAGTGATACGCACCGTGATATATGCTTAGAGTAACAAAACGTTACCGTTACTGGCTGGCTCATAGTCACTGGCACTGCTAAGATAGGATCCCCAATTGGAAGCAATGCGCATACGAGTGCTCCGATTCTTAGTCGTACTCGCTGGCGCATGAGGATACTTAATCGTCAGTCAAGACCAAACCATCACCAGCGACGGCCGGTACAGTCGACCAAACCTTAACAAGGTGGAGTAGAACATGTGTCCACCTCTTGTCATTTCAGAGTTGGAATGGTGGTGGCTGTAGTAGTGGCTGTAGTGATGGATGATGTCGCAACGGTGTCCCGGCGTCATTGAATCCTGTAACCATAGAACACAAGACAGTCAGATTGATTCCCATCTCGAACCGGTTTAGCTAATCCGGGACATTGAGCGTGCGAGCCCTGCTTGCTTCGAGCGAAATGCCGAACGTCGGATTGTGTCGCTGAAGTTTGCAAGGACCCTGGAATTGATTCTTCAGTCAATAGTGATCCAACGACGACAGCGAGACAGCGAGTGATATCAACCGCGGGTTTGATATTTCCATCGAAAGATAAGCCAAACACCATGTAGAAGACATCGACGCAGATAAGTTGTCGTTGCTTCCCATGCAATAGCATCAACCGTGGTATCGTCACTGTCGCATTGTCCCCTAAGAGGAGACATGAGCTAAGTGGTGACACCTCTTTTCCGATACTTGCACCAAGGCGAGGCTGTAAGACTTCTACATGCCCACGTTGTGCCGAGCGACCGGAGTGCTTGTCGCTGTCGAAATGCAGAAAGGACTCAACCATAGCGCTGAGACACGTCCTCTAGCGGTCCACCTCCTAGAATGGCAATCTTGCGAGCATGCTGCAAGCAAGAAGCGGCATGCGTGATGCACTGTTCAACGTTTGCATCCGCTGTCAACGTCGGTTGCATATAGTATGTGCGTCGCTGATGATACTTCGCTTAAGCATGATATCATCATCGAGTCATATCGCAGAGATACCCAGACTTCTGATAGTCACTGTCGTCAACGTGGATGCCAAGGTCGTAGGCATTATAATAACCTACGCTGCGGCAACGGCTGGTCAAGAATCCATGTCCAAGAGGGCGCATTTCAATCCTCGCGGGCTCCCAAGGCCGGATGTGACTCATTCCTTGTGACTTTCTCTCATGCACCAGCCTTGCGCTTGCTGCATAGTGCAGAGTTATCAGTCGCTAGCCTGCTTCTTCTCCTACGCGAACGCCAGTAAAGCGGATGCTGAAGCTATCCTCCGTCCTCGTTCGCCTTGTATGACATGGTGCTTAGGCATCGTGATGCAGTAGGATCGAAGGGATTGGTTGGGATTCTGGCAAATAGTGGAACGTCGACATTGTCTTGTGAGATCGAAAGGTGCTCGCAAGCGTCAGTTTGAACAAAGCTTTTGCTATCCGTGCGAAGACCGAAGTAGGAGAGGAGCTTTCAGCGCCGCCTCTCAGTAGCAATGTTGCTGGCAAGTGCCCTGTCGGCGGTCGCGATGCGGTGTCTTATCTCCTGAACTTACTGGAGATTCTATGCGCGTTGTCCGATGTGCCTTTGCGAAATCTACTGTCTTCGTGGCTTCCCAAGCGCCTGCACGGGCGCGCAAGCTCTGTCCTTGTCCAAACGGGCTGTATGGCTGCCGCGTAGATCTGCAGCGATCTTCGGTCAGGAGCGTGCATCGGTGTGAGGGCCAAAGAAGTATGGGAATGCACAGCTGTACCAATCTAAGGCTGCTGTCGACCATTGCGGACCTCCGCCTAAGCTATCGGTGCTGAAGCTACGAACACTATGGAGAGTGCTGCAGACGCCTGAACACATCAGCATAACAGATGCGGTCACCAATCCTGTCGCTTTTGTGCTTATGACGCCCTTCGTCCAGGGTAAAATCTCTTATGCACAGGAGGCGCGCCTGTGTGCCCTCGGGAAGCTTCACGAAGCGCTACAATGGTGGGAGCTGTATATGCTACATCGCGCACGATCGAGCAGTGCCTGTCGGATGAGGGAGCTCTATTGAGGGGCTCTGTGGGAGAGGCTTTGTGGGTATCAGGGTCGTTGTACTTTCGTGAAGGGAGGGCGGTGGCGTTAATGTGGGGATGAATTTGTGCGGTCTCCCGCGACTAAACCTCCCACCTCAGAGCCATCAAAGAGGCTGCAGATGGTGCTATGACACCGGAGGTCATCGTCTCTCTCGAAGACGACCATGATGTAAGAGTGACGAGAAAGTTATCATGGCCATCGACGCCTGTCAGCCGATTGAGTATCGTCGGCTTGCGGAGCGGTCATGACAGCACGACACAAGCTGAGAGGTCGAGATGAACATACACCTATCGAGTTGCTCGCACTGCAGACAGCAGCATAAAGCAGGGGATTTGGGGTGTCTTTCGGGTGTGGTAGCAGAGTGGTCGGGAGGGAGGCGGGCAGCGTTGCGACGAAGGGGGGCAGGTAGCGTTGGCGAGCCTTCCCGCCTCCAACACGGAAAAGCTTCCAACGACGGCCCAGGAAGGAAGCTACGAACGAATACAAACCAACAACATACGCAGCATTATACTGCCCATTACCCTGCAGCAGATGCGATACATGTTATTCTCTTCGATGCATACGCATCCAAAAATACTATGTGCACTAAGTCAAGAGAACAAGCAGGACGGGTATGAAGTATTGGGCTCGTTATTCATTTCCATGTTCTTCATGTTGGCCAGGGTCCAGCAAAGGGAGCCACCAGAAGCTCCGTCCTGCCAATGTGGGATATATAGTGGCCATGCTCTCCAAATCGTCCATCCAACGCCGAGCTTGCAAGACAATCAATGGCCAGTATTGTACAAAAAGAATGGGCAACATCAGAAGGGCCAGTCCATCACCAACAGAAATGAGACCAGATCGAGCACTGGTCGCTAGAAAACAGCCACAGCAGATTTGTTTCTCTGCTATCTCAAACTTCCTTCTTTCGAAGAGAGTACGACGATTCTGCTTCTGCTAGCCGCATAATGTCTCCCCTACAAGCGGTCTCGTTGGTCTCGATGCTCATGGCTTCGCATACTGCTGTGTCCACTCCTGAGCTGTCTGAATAGCTTGTGCCTGGTTCTCCTTCCATGCCTGCGCAACGTCGTTCGCGAGGGGATCGTCCGGGTTGGGTGCGCCCAAGAGAGCCTGGATAGACAGTAGGATGGTACGGATCTGAAGCGCGGGCGACCAGTTGCCTGAACTAATCAGCTGGGTCGCTAAAGTGCAAGATGAGGGTGGACATACTCTTCAAGACGTCCAGGCAGATGCGCCCCAGACGGTCGATGTTTGGGTGGTAGATCTTGGTGAGAAAGCGGACCTTGGGTGGGGTCATGGGGTAGTCGTCTGGGAGGAAGAGTTCAAGCTTGAAAACGCCGCCTGTCAGGCTTGTCAGCAAAGGTCTGAAGACTTCCATGTCTGAGTACATACCTTCATAAGGAGACTGGCTGGGGCCGTCGATGGTGACATCGAAGTACCGAAGGTTGTCATCGTGGGGTGTCGCGCTGATGCCTTGCACACTGTACCGCCGTCTGGATTAGCAACGCCACACACGTTCGTCTAGAAGACATGCTCACGGCTCGTTGACCAGGCGCTCGGTCTCCTTGATGATTCGCTTGGGCAGCGCCATAACTGAAGGTGGGGCAGGACTCGTCGATGGTAGCAAAGGGGTGGTCGCGGAGAATGCTGTCTACGTGTGGGAATCTGCGATCGTCGTCGAGGCTGGGCTGGAAGATGCGGTGTTCTTTCTCTGGGTAGGAAGGTGCGAGGCTCTATCTTCTCATGACGAGGTTTGATCTTGCGTAATCGGTCGGGCATCCTACCGACGTTGCCAAACGGGGCTTAGTCTGGTAAGTGGCATGTCCCTCGGCGGGAAGGCGCGCCAAGGGGCCAGGCCTATCACCACCATCAACACTCTCACCACCATCTCTCTCACCCAACTCGGCCGCGTTTGCCAAAGCCAGGATGGCGGCCACAGGGGGTGGGCCATCGTCGGCATTCAAGTCGCCAACGTTTGATGATAATGTTGAGATCAAGGTTGACGACGATATTGGCGCCGCAAGCATAAGCCCAGCAGGTCGCGACGTGGTGCTCGCCAGCAAAAGTGGCCTCCGCATCATCGATCTGGACAACATCTGGTCTCTGCCCCTGTTTATCCCGAACCAGTCTTCATGGGACGTCGCAGATGTACAATGGTCCCCTTTTGCAGCACGCGCCGAGTGGATCGCGTCGACGCGAAATCAGCTTGCGCTTGTATACAATCTCTCCATGCCTTACAACAACAACAAAGCACCCATCGAATACACCTTACGCGCACATGATAGGGCTATAACAGACATCAACTTTTCCGCACACCATCCTGACCTCCTGGCAACTTGTGGCGTAGACAGCTTCGTCTTCGTACATGATCTTCGCAGCAGGCAAGCGCCATTGAAGCTTGCCGACTACACAGCAGGAGCTACCCAAGTCAAATGGAACCGCCAGAACGACAAGATCATTGCAAGTGCTCACGACAAATACCTTCATATCTGGGATACTCGTCACGGAGCGAACCCTCTTTCTACCATCACCGCTCACACCACGAAGATCTACGGCATCGATTGGAATCGCAATGACGCAAATAAAATTATGACCTGTTCCCTCGACGCAACTATCAAGTTTTGGAACAATGTAGGCTTAAAAGACAACATCACTGTCCCTCGCCGCGTCATCCGCACTCATTACCCTGTATGGCGAGCGCGACACACGCCGTTTCCGCACGGTATCCTCGCCATGCCCCAACGCGGCAATTCCTGTCTCTGGTTATACAAGCACATTAATGATAGCGACCCCTCGACTTTCACCAACAGTCACGCAAATGTCTTCCAGCAGCACGAACCTGATGCCCAAGTTCGCGAATTCCTCTGGCGTACACGTGGCTCCACCGATGACGGATTCGATAACCGCGATTTTCAGCTAGTTTCTTGGGGTACTGACAGACGTCTCGTACTTCACAAGCTACCTTCTGAGGATCTGGAGAAATGGGTCGGCCACCGCAAAGGTGATCCACTCGTGGACAAGCCCAGTACGACACGGAAAGGTGCTACGTACGTTTCCTATCGGGATGGGCCTATACCTACCACTACTGCGACCACTCAGGATGAATTTGGCCCCCCTCGTGCTCAGCGCAAAGGTAACCTGTCAACTCTCTTACAGAACTACTCGCTCAACGAAGAGACTTATACCCCGCGCTTCCATGGCCAAACGCTTCCTCAGATACATCCTGAGACAGTTCCCCGAGAGACTATGACTGCTCGGCCGATTCGGCGCAATGATCCGCGCGTCGTTAACCACATGAAATGGATCAACGGCGTCAAATTTGGAGGTGATCGCCACAACAATGTCGACGATCAAGCTCGGCCCAATCATTATGATCGCACTGAGAAGCAGCCATTCCAAGAGCAGAACGACCTTGGTGCCGAGATTTCTTATGTAGGCAACAAATACAAGAAGCTTGCTTTTGAAGAAATCGATGTTCCGGGACGCCGCATCAAAGTTTCTTTCAACGGACCCTGGGGTGATTGGGATACCGCCACAAATGAGCCTAAGCTTGTATTCCTTCGGTTCACCATCAAATTCCCGGTCTCATACCCCAAGGCCGTCGAAAAGCAACAATCAGGTACCATTGTTGGTAGGGCACCAACCCCACTGGACATCGAATCCGAGAGAACGACAGCGGCGATCAGCAAGGACAACCAAGAGGAACTGATCAACAACATGCATCGCATTGCTGAAACCTGCGCAGATCAACAGCGAGAGGCGCTGGAGGCAGTACTCTCGTATGCGTTGGGTGAACGAGCACTAGACGATAGCCTGGACCTGGCCGAAGATGATGACCCATTAGGAGACCTTGGACCACTACCCGGAGAGAGCTCCAGCGATGATGAGGATCACGAGGGCGAGTTCACTGATGATGTGATGCAATCATCTCATACTAATGCTAATATCCCTCTGCCAATACAGTGTACGGCGCGATTCTCGGTAGATGGATCCCTTGTAGTCGCAAAGATACCGACCACAAAGTCAATGCCTGGCTCAGAAACATTCAGGTTCCAAATTACCAGGAGTCTTCGACAAGGTGTACTGAAGAATGACATCTTTGACTCGTTCGGCCGTTTCACTTCTCGACGTCCCGAGGCTTCCGACGGCGGATCATCGCCAACCTCATCGGTCGGGTCGTGGGAAACATCTTCCACCCCATCATCGTCATCCGGTACCGATCATGCAGGGAATGCGCACATAGGAAATTTTCAACCGCCACTGGCTTGGCAGAAGTCTGCATCCCGATTTCAGTCGCGGAACTCATTACCATCTTCGACCGGCGTAGGAAAGCAGGCAGTCAAGGCTAGATCCACAGTGTCCATACTCTTTTCGGCTACAGAGGATCTAGTTCCCAGTAAGCGTGAGTTGGCAGAGGAATACCGAATATTTGGACCTGGACCACTCATATGCGAGCACAACTCTGAGGTCGCTCGAAAGTACGGTTACGATGACTTAGCTGATATTTGGATCCTTTGCAAACTGATTTTGAGTAACGAAGTGCCATTGGAGATCTTACCTCAGAAGTACCGGAGAGATCAAGTCCTTGTGCTTGCCCGGAGAGCTCTTGTGAGGATCAAACGCAAGGACAGTGGACTAGATCTTCAGTTCGACGAGGCAGACACAGTGAAAAACCCTAGGCTTAGGGCACGTGTAAAATGGGGCCACCACATTGTTGTTACATGGCTGATACCTTCGCTCTTTGACCATTTCGAACGTCTAGCAGATACACAGATGCTTGCTATGCTGTCGTGTATCTTCGCGGAACCTGCTGCTCGTGAAGGTGTGACCTCAGCAATGGCTAAATTGCGGCAGTCCCAGCTTCCTATGTCCATGGAGGCACCGGCCTTCTCCCTAGACTATTTCTCCTCTGTGGACGCTGCGTGGAGTTTGTTCAAGCCTACGATTTCTGTGCCGTCTACACCGTCACATTCACGCTTTGCGACACCAGCCAACGGGTTTGCATGGCAAAGATTGGCAAAGAATCTCGACACATATGGAAGTCATGGAAGTTCCAATGGTCCATGGGGCAGCGATCATGTCAGCTCTGATCCCGTCACACCATACTCTACCGGTAACACCCCACCTGTCTTGTCCAGGGCGTCCACGACGAGAACTGCGCACACGACTAATCACACACCATACGGAACGTCGCCCGAGCAGAGCCATACAGCCCACAAGAAAAGTTCAACAGCAAATTTCGCAAGTGCCGTTGCTGCATTGTCACGTCCCTTTGCAAACGCAATCTCCTCTTCACCGCCAGTGAGATCACGGATGGATGATCTTTCCACGTCAGCACCCACCAGTGCTGTCACCTGGGGAACAACCACGTTCTATGGTAGTGACTCCCACGACCAGAGCAACATGTCAAGCTCACGTTCAAAACACGGCAAGCGAGCCAGTTTCGGACAATCTGAACAAGTCAACGTCAACTACATCGACGATTCCGATTCCGAATATGAGAGAGTCGATGACGATGGGGCTTACATCACAACGGGTACAAGAGAGAATACCGTGCCTGGCCCGCCTCGAGACGGCACAAGTACCAAAGGATCCATCAAAGTCACGCTCAAGAATCAAGACCAGTTCGACGATGAAGCATGCTTCAGTCGTCCGCTATTAGACACAAGCAAAGACTGGCTGCATCGGGCATGGCGTGAACAGTATGCTGAGATGCTCAGCCGTTGGGGCCTGGTCAGTGTACGCGCCGAAGTATTGAAATTCAACGGCCTCGTATCGTACTTCCCAACTGAAACTCCTCGTGCCGTCCAAAAACATGGCTCGGTGTCTCTCGCCCTCAAGCAGTCCGCAGATGAAGACGGTGACGAGAAAGCGATGAAGCACTTGTCGCAAGCCTCATCTACGCTGGTGCCTCCAACTCCCACCACGACGCAAATGAAGCGCTCACCTGGTCCATCACCACGCCACTTCTCTTTCAACCCAGAAGCAATGGAATTTCAACCTGGAACATTTGCCAACGGCCTACCGGAAGAGTTTGTACCGAACCCTGATGCATTTATTCCTGCCGAGCAGTATCTTCGTCTTTCGATACCTGTTCCAACTCCGACAAGGGAGTTAGATGAGAGTGTTGCCGGTCTTGGCACATCACCTGGTCAAAGTAGACTGCAGCCACCTTCCAGTCGAGCGAGCAGGCCGAGCCTATCGCGAGGCACATCAAACGTCTCCGCCGGTTCATCATGGCGGGATGGCCGTGATGGCCGCTCGCGCACGAACCTCACCACTGCATCTGCAAAATATACTAAATCAGAACCTGTGTACAGCTGCAGCATCTGCTGGATCCGAGTTTCAGGTCTCTTCCACCTCTGCCCTTCATGTGGACACGTCGCGCATATGGACTGCATGGACGATGAGATTGGTATGGACGACGGCGAATGCGTAGTTGGTTGCGGGTGCGGTTGTGGCCTTGAGGATGACGATGAGCGCAGCAGAATGGAGGCTTACATTGAAGGAGTGCGCGCCGCGAATGCTGCAGGTATCGCATGGGAAGAGGGCAGTGAGTGGTTGCCTAGTGGAACCACGACTCCTGCCCTGTATGCTGAGAGTGCATATGGAGACTTCATGACGGGCGGTGTCAGCAAAATGGCAGGCACCGGCGAAGAGAAAAGGAAGGAGAGGTTAGGTGGACGCAGTAACGTCGTCAGCCCTACGCCCACGAAGACAAAAAAGAAGGGGAAGAAGAAAGTTAGGGCTTCGGGGTTGAGCTACTACTGAAGCCGTGTACTTGTACACTGGGAGATACCCTATTCTTTCCTTGGTTGTTTCTTTTTTACGATACCTAATGTTTTCAATTCTCTCATCGTTCCAGCGCTTGTATGATATCTGGCATTTGTTTGACACCTGGAATAGCCTTTGGTAATGTAATCCTGTCTTTATTCTACAAGCTGTAGTTAACAGAAGAATCCATGCACATTGATACAGCTTGCATATTGTTGCGCTGTCTCATCCAATCGCGTAAATGTATGCAAGCGCTGTCCCGATCCAAGCGCTTCCCTCCACTTTCACCTTCACTTTCCCCCGCGTTACAAAGGAGATTTCTATGTCTTTAGAGTTTCGGAGTCTGTGCTGCTTCTGGTAGAACCCTGATGCTCATAACAAACAACTCGCTTCACACACTCGTTTTGCAGCTGCTCGAACATTGTCTTTGCATTCTTGTCACTTACTACACGAATACTCTCCAAGTGTGAATCGAACAGCCGATCATGTCTTTCTTCCACAACGCTTGGAAGGCTCTGGACGGCTTTGGACAAGAGGCCGGCAAACGCGTCGGCAGCGCCGCGCACCAGACATTCAAGCATCTCGACGCTTTCGGACAAGATGCGGGTAGAAAAATCGGACCTGCTCTTGGAGAAGCTTGGAAGCACATGGATGCGTTCGGTCAAGAGGCTGGAAAGCAGGTCGGCGGCGCCGCACACCAGACGTTCAAGCATCTTGATGCCTTCGGTCAAGACGCAGGTAAAAAGATCGGTCCCGCTCTGGAGGAGTCATGGAAGCATATGGATGCGTTTGGTCAAGAGGCTGGGAAACATACCAGCCTCGCGGCAGAAAGGACTAAGCAATGGGTCGAAAAGCATCCAGGAGAGACAGCTGGCATCGTCGCGTGTGTTGTGGCTGCTCCCATCGGTATCGGAGCCGCGTATGCTGTTTTGAATATGGTGGGCTTCACGGCTACGGGGGTTGCAGCTGGATCAGCCGCTGCAGCAGCGCAATCGGGGATTGGTAGTGTCGCAGCTGGAAGTACTTTTGCGGTTCTGCAAAGCGCGGCAGCAGGAGGTGCTGGTGCCACACTCGTCAGTGGCGTCGCTGGAGGCACGGCCACCGGCATTGCTGTTGCTGCCACGACTCCTGGATTGATCAAAGCTATACAGGAAGGCAAGAAGGAGGTCACGATCGATGATGTCACGTACAAAATCGAAGACAAAGAGGAGGCGGAACCGTCACCACCAGCTCAGTAGAGTCTGACAGTGTGGTCGAGTAGATTGAGGAGGGTGTGAAGGCATTGGGGCACTACATATCGCGTCAGAGTAACACGGCATGCTTACGACTGGCGAGGCATAGGGCAGAGCTACGGAGAAAGTTTACTAGTGTAGTGTCTTGCATCTTCCGTACCTAGCACAAGCTAAAGGGATCAGCTTCCGGCAGACTCAATCCAGTACTAGAAACGTGAACTTGTATGCGAGCCGCAACGAGCGCATTCCTGAGATGGTGCTCCGCGGGATCTTCGACGGCTTCGCGTCGCTCCCGAGACAAGGCTGAGCCGTTGGTGGAGCGGTTCACCGCCGGGTGACAGGCGTAGCTGCACGGGTTCCGAACACAGGATGGCGCCGATGACGCCTGCATCACAACCCGGTGAACCCAAAGCAACGGCTAATTCCAGAAGTCTGCCGTCGCACAGGTTCCTGGACTCGAGTAACTACCGCTGCACACTACCGGTCACAAGGGTTCTTGTGGAGGATTACCCGACTGCGCAGGATGAAGGATGATGCTGCGGCCGTACCCCACGCGTGCCCAGGTGATTCGCGAACCCGATAAGTACGGCGCTAGCGAGTAGCCGCGCATCTCCCCAGCTTCTTCTCCACTTTAGATAGTGTCTCTCTCTTGCTTATCTGCAAAACCCCCGATGATTCTACTCGTTTTTGCTTAGCAGGCCACCTTCTTCTTGCATATGAGATCACCAGTTGCCAGCGAGCTCGCCCAGGGAACCAACGCTCGCACCAGTCGCGGCAGATGGCTGAGGCTATCGCTGTTCCGTCACCCTCGTTCGTGCTAAATCCCCCGGAATCCGCTCCGATCGACATTAAACCCACTAGAAAGACGGCGTCTGCTTCGTGTCCAGCACCCAAGAAGGCTTCCGATACTGCTGGCGTTACTAAGAGGAAGCAGTCCAAGAGCCGTAATGGTATGCTCGCGCTCTGTCGACTCTTGCCGTCTACACGATACCCATGACTTGAGGCACTTCCGCTAAGCATTGTACTAACGTGTCTGTACAGGATGCGTTACCTGCAAAGCAAAGCGCCTGAAGTGTGACGAGAAGAAACCAACATGCGAGCAGTGTGCCAGGCGCGCAGTGACCTGCGGTGGCTACAAGAAAGACTTCAAATGGAGACCGTTTGAGGAGCCAAGCAGCTCAAACAAAGCACCTCTCAAGTCGCGCCAAGGTCAGTTCGTCGGCCACGATTTGAAAACACATCTGACAAGTCCAGGCTCAGGTCCCCAAGTACCGACGACGTCTATGCCCTCGCAATTTCAAGGCCACTCCAACTTCCAAGACCATCAATATGCCTTCACTGGCACACCGCACAACGCGTACTATCCGCCACGTCAACATCCGTACCCCTTCATGCATGGCCCACCTATACAGACATCCTTCTCACAGCCCTCATTTGTACCCACTGAGAACCTCTTCGCCGTCTCAGCAGCCTCACCCTTTATCGTCCCTCCTATGTCCATATCGCCTGCAGGTTCATATGCGCCGGGATCATTCGGGTCACAAAGCGTCTTGGGGGCCGAGAGCACGACCACTGTGCAAACAAAGGCCAACACCGAGTCAAGTGCATCTCCTGGCCAATCGCCTGGACTTCTAGACCTTCTCGAACCAGGAACTGATCTTAACGAACCACCAGAGGAGTATTCCTCTTTCGTGTCTCAACATGAGGCCTTTTACCAGCCCACAGGCCTAACACCCCCAGCTTCAATGGAGGAAGACGGGATTGAAGAACTAGTGCGCGACAGTAACGGATACCTTGCAAATTTTGTCACACGATTACCATCTCCCTCACCATCGAGCTCTTCAGGATCTTCTTCGAATTCTCCCGATTTCAAGATACCTGCCCAGGTACAATTATCTCTCACATCAGCGGAATCAATTACACGACGTTACGACAGAGATACTTGTGGTGTACTCTCAGTGAAAGATGGACCCACGGAAAACCCATGGCGAACTCTTATCTGGCCTCTCACACGAGACTGCCCAGCACTCTACCATGCGATCGCATCCATGACCTCCTTTCACCAGTCGAAAGATATGCCCACCTTGCGTATTCAAGGCATCGATCATATGCGAAATGCTGTACATGCACTAGCTGCTGGCCTCCAAAATATGCGTGTTGATGCAGCTATCTCTACCACACTAGTACTGGCTTTTGCCGAATCATGGGATCAACATATCAGCACAGGCATAAACCACATCAAGGGGGCCAAGATTTTGATCAACCAAGCCCTCGTGCAACATCGCCACAAGCCAAAACATGGCGAGGAATGGACGCGGCTGAAGTTCCTGTGCAACACCTGGATTTACATGGACGTCCTTGCCCGCTTAACGTCCGCTGATGACGACGATGCATACGATGTAGACACTATACAGGAAAGTATATATGCTACTGGCGAGACAGAAACTACGCTTGACCCTTTGATGGGCTGTGCGCATACACTTTTCCCGATTATTGGCCGGGTAGCAAACCTGGTCAGAAAAGTACGGAAGTCTGACAGCAATGGGCCTACTATTATATCACAAGCAGTACAGTTGAAATCTCAGCTCGAAGAGTGGACTCCCCCTTCTTTCATCGAAGATCCCGAAGACGAGACGACAAGCCCACATGACACGATCAAAACTGCACTAGCTTACCGAAATGCCACACTACTTTACCTCCATCAAGCTGTACCGGAAATTCCATCGGAGTCGCCTAGTGTGCTCGCAAAGAGAGTGCTTTGCGATCTGGCCACCGTGCACCCGCGCTCCCGTTCAATCATCGTTCATATTTACCCACTGATGTCCGCTGGCTGCGAGGCAGTTGAGCCGGACGAGCGCGAATGGGTCACAGAGCGCTGGCGCCTGATGTCCTCAAGAATGAAACTTGGAATTATAGAACGATGCTTGGAAGTCACAAAAGAGGTCTGGAGCCGACGAGACGCCCGCGCATCAGAGCGTGTGTTACACCTAAATGATATGCGCAGCCATAGTTTCTCGCCGGACGTTGCTTTGGAACACGAGGACGGCGTCTTTTCTAGTGACTTCGACGGGAACGGCGACTTCTGTTGCCAAGAGACATCGGACTGGAAATCGGCGTTGCCTAATGATACGGAGAACCTAGACGGGATTGTTACGGTCAAGGATCGCCTTCATTGGCTGAGTGTCATGAAAGAATGGCAGTGGGAGATCCTGCTCGGATGAACATCAGCCAGGCTCGTGCTTACTCACTGCCACGTCCACTGTCTCTTCACGCAGTATCACAAGGAGCGACCTTTCTTTCGGGTCAACGAGTCAGTAATTTTTGGTACGACTGTATCATGATTCACGCCCGTGTTTCACAGCGTTTCACAACTGCTGGCTTGAGCACACGCGTCCGCATTTTGGAGTTGCATTCATTTCGCTTTGCCCCTTGGGGAGTTTGCATCACGATACAAGGAAGTTTCGTTCAGCATTTTCCAAGGCTAGGAGGAGCTTATTGAAAAATCGCCCAAGAAAGCGCGGTTCAGGGTATTCTGCCTTGAGGCCGATTGTAATGTTGGAGCTTACCGGCTCGTCTCAGCATATTGCTGCAACCATATCGACCTTATTTTAATCGGTCCCCGTTCGCACGAATACTATGCCATCCAATTTGATTGGCCACAATGAAAACTTTTGTCCATCCCGAAAACTCAAGGACCGCTCTTCATTTCAGAATTTCCTTAATCGGCTGACCGGTATGACGCGATCATTCAAGTACACATGTGCCACATGGGCCCCAGTGTTAACGTGCCGGCGCGATATACACTACATTCCCATCTCGAGATGGGTTACGTCTTTGTAGACAATCCGGAATGAACACACGCTCTTGTATACTACAGTGGCGGCGCCAGACAGGCGCAGGCTGTCAGAACGCAGCCACTGACTGCAGTACTCGCTGTCAAGAACAGCCAACCGTGACACGGCGTCACAGCGCTACGGAACGCATGATCCGTGCTCCAAGGGTCGATCATAAAGTGTGGAGACATATCATAGGCAGCCAGATTCGACCTATCACATTCATCATAAAATGCCTGTCAAGCGTTGCACACCACGTAGTCGTCATTCAGGTCAGCCTCTTACCCAACATAGGCTAGCAAGCTGCAGATATCCGACGTGCAACATGAATCTGCATGAGCAACAGAGCTGTTATGCCCCCGGGATCATATTGAACGTACATACGCAGCAAGGGCCGAGTCCTGTGGCATATTACAGTAGTAGCAATGCATATTAGGGACGCCTCGCACAATCGGACGTTTGACAAGTCCCGGTATTCTCGCTTAGATGCCCCGAGCACCAAGCGCCAGGCTGCAGGTGCGACAGAAGGCCGGACTGCAGATACCGCATCGCGTTATCGTAAAAAGAAACAGTCTTGGAAGCGCCAGATCATTCAGCCACGATCGTGTATGAACATAAACAACTGTACGCTAAATGTGGTTCTGGGCATTCCAAACGAGCCAAACTAAATCCCTCAGTCACACTGTCAAGTCAGGCTTACGCGTCATTCCTCAACTTTTCGTGACGACTCAAGAAGACAAATCTCCAGCAGGTACCCGCCTTCTGTTCTAACTCTTCCTTTGCGCAGGACACCCTGCAGAGCTCAAAGAACTCGTACACCATCTCAGTAACGATTCGACTTAGTACGTAATTCACGGGAATCTGCATAATTGAATTTATCAGATATGCAGGTACATTCTTTCCTAGATTTTCTCAGGCCAGACATGGACTATGATACATCAAAGACAGGCGCCTGACAGCCCACTGTATGTACCACGGAACACCAGTACTCAACAAGCATCAACCACGTTCACCACGCTACTGTCATCGTCGAAAGACTCAACGGATGCACAGACGTGTTTGATCCAGGGGCACTATTGGTGGCGTATTGCGCCGGAGAAAGACAATCTCAACCACGATACACGCCTTCTCACCTGATGTGATCGACACATTGGTGGCGTCTTCGCCTCACGTTTCACCTTGAATACTGATCTCATAGAGCTTGCATTGCGAACTGTACCAGACTATTGTCGAGGGTGTGACTGTGAGTGTACTACAGATATTGCAGCCTGGAAAAGTGGAATAGAACTGAAGTTGGACGAGCACTTATAATGGTCTTATTATCTGAAGAAGGCAGATGAATAAATCTTCTGAGATATATCATAGTGATTGCTAGGATGTAATCTAATGTGCGATTGTTTTCTCCTACTACGCCGTCATCTTGCGTTGTCTGTCTCTAATGCTCAGTACCAACTTGAGGCTTTGTCTCAATCGCCTTGACCTTGGAATTAGCAAGTGTGATTGTCTGCACCCAGTTTCGACCCAATTCATCCGCAGCGGCCAACCGCTCCTTGAGTCTGGCGATGCGCTTGTCAGACTTGGACTGACGGCAGCGCAAGAACTCGATTGTTTTATCCTTTGCGTGAAGCTTAGTCCAGTGTATAAGAACGAAATCGTTGGATCCTTGCTGGCTCTGTTGCTGCTCGCCCTCAACTATCATGGGATGTTGCTTCTGCTGATTCTTCAACTTCGTCCACGTGGCTTCACGTTTAGCAGCCGCTTCATGTGCTTCTTCAAGTTGCTTCGACAGATCCCCAAGCTGAAGCTCAAGGGTCTGGATTGTTTCATTGCTAGCGTCGTCGTTGCGGCGAATACACTCCTTGAGCTCCTTCTGAATCCCCTTTAGATCACCGATCTCGCTATCCCTATCAATGAGTGCTTCCTCTAAGTCGGCGATCTCGCTTTCCTTGGCTGCGAGCGTTTCGGAGGTTTGCTGGAAGAGGTTCTGGTTGAGCTCAGATTGTTGAGTCAGCTCTCCATTACGCCTTTGTAGATGAGCATTGTCCTGAGCTAGTTGATCATTCTCCTGTGAGAGGGACGCGAATGAGGGAGTGATAGAAGGGGCGGTCGATGCCGATGACAAAGCCACTACGGAGTCGTTGCGGCGAAGCATCTTGTCGAAGAAACTCAGCTGCTGAGGCTTAGGAGTGAATTCAGCGGACATGCTGTTAGGTTTTAGGGTAATTGCGGTATGAGACGTTGGGCTACTGATCGTCAAGCACCGGCATATGAGGTACTTTGGAGGATACAGTAAACTCTGAATCAAGTGCCTGATTCTAGCATTCTGGAATGTATATGTCGCTCAATAGGATAAATCTTATAAGTATCATGCCTAAAATGTGTGTAGTAACAATGTGGAGCATTGTCCGTCCACCAGCTTAGTAACGTAAGACATTGTCATGCACTAGAATCAAGAAGATGTTCAATTGCGGTAGAGGAAATGATGTGGTTCTAGGCCCAAAGGCCGTTGCCGAAGAGGAACGCCTATCAACGGACCAAAGACAGACAAGAGAGAGGAAAGAGGGCAGAGAAGACAACTACACGACACGACCCAAAACCTCTTCAAACCTCCTTGAAAATCCCACTCCACTTCTCCTCCCCAACGCGAAGAACCACCACCTTGTCTGGCACGATATGCGTCTGAACGAAGACGCACTCCGCCCTGTCCTGGAGGACCGCCAGCTGCGTCTCCACATCCCCCTCCAACGCGCAGACTTCCGTCTCCAGGTGCTCGATCTTGGCGGCCGCAGCCTCTCCCTCTTTCACCAGGGCGGTGTTGCGCTCCTCCAGGGCGGCGTTGCGCTCCTCCAGGGCCTTGACGCAGTCCTGGTACTGCTTCTCGATGCGCGCGAGCACATCTGCTGCTGGGCCAGACGAGACAGCGGGGTGCTATACAAGATAGTATGTCAGTGCTGACCTGGAAGTGACAGAGATGCTTGGAGGTACTCACGTGAGTATGGACGAGGATGTCCAGGAGCGCGGCATCGACATCGTAGTCGGGGTTTGGCTGGAATGGGGCTGAGTAAGACATTGTTAGATGTGTAGTCTTTGAACTTGTTATTTGTGCAAGTTTGAGGCAGAGGTTCGACTGTCGTAGAAGGTATGTGAGGTATCGCGAGGACGGAGAAACAGCAATAGAACAGGAGGTTGAGACGCTTATATGATAGGTATGAAGATGGGACGAGATCGGTGAATGGTGAAATGTCACTTCAGGTGAAAGGGGATATCTTCGAGGATGTTCAGTTTGGGCTCTACCGAAGCTACTGTGCTACGCTCTCTCGAGCTGGATGCATGCCCTTGCTTCTTCACCTGCGGCTCTTGTCTTATTCACTTATTCTCTTTCTGCTTATATACTCATGCGCCCTTTTGTACAAGGTCCGCGACTTGTTGTTCGATGCTCTTGTCGTCCAGACCCTTTAGCGACAGCTTCCTCTCCTTTCCAAAGTCTATTTCAGATTATTAGCATTGTTTCTCCTGTGTCTTTCCTTAGGTGTGACGCACCGAATCGCGCATATACGGTGGGCTGGGTGCCGTTGGCTTCGCGGATCATGATGGGAATGGATGGGTTGGCCTTCTTCATGGCGGGGTAGCTTCGTGTAAGGAAGTTCCTGTATATTCCATCAGCCCAGCTCGTTTGGTCCTCCTTCTTCTGCTCTTCTGCGTTGCTCTGCGCATCGTGTTGCGCTCCTCACTTGGGTGTCGCATACCTTGTGGCGGCGCTGTGCTCGCTAGTCTGGCAGAACAAGAACCTCAGCTCCTTGAGGCCATTTCCGAATGCTTTTGACGCCATTGTAAGGACCGTTAATGTGGTGTGGGGGTATCAATCGGTGTCTGTCGTCACCCGCGCTGCAGCGACATTCAATGTTCGTCGGAAGCTGCCAGGAACACGCCTTACCTGTTTCGGCCTGGCCAACCGGAGCAACCCCATCGTAGTTCCGGATTTATCATTCACCAAGGCTTGAGCCCGACATCGCGACCGCACGCACACGACCATCGTCCCGGACTCAGCTGCACTCCGGACGCCTCAATTCCTCTTCTGCTCGGATCGCCAACTTGGAGAGTAAAGGACAAAGACCGCGATCATGTCGTTCCGCCCGGGCTCCCGCATCTTCAGCTCTTTCCGACCCTTCTTTCAACGCGCAAATGCCCGCCGACATGCCGGCACAGCTGCAGGCGCTGAGCCCGCTGGCTTCCAAAAGTTCTGGAACAGCCCTATCGGACCCAAGACTGTCCACTTCTGGTACGCTTCCTCGACATGACCTCTGTCTTCCTATGCGATGCGCTGCAGCTCCCCGCTTTGTCCGGAGCGCATCCGCAGCAGCAAACACACAAGTCCAAAACGGCCACTCTTGAGCTATGAAGTTGCTAACACTATCACAGGGCCCCAGTAATGAAATGGGGCATGGTCCTCGCCGGTGCCTCCGACTTCTCCCGCCCCGCTGAATCTCTCTCCTTCACCCAGAACTTCGCTCTCATGTGCACAGGCGCCATCTGGACACGATGGTGCTTCGTTATCCGCCCCAAGAACGTTGCCTTGGCTGCTGTCAACTTCCTCGTCTTCTGCGTCGGTGCTACACAGGTCGGCCGTATCTACGCCTACAACAAGTCTATCGAGGGCACTGAAGGTCAAGCCAAGGGCGAGATGAAGGATCTCAAGCACACTGCTGAGAAGGCTGAACAGAAGGCCGAGAAGGCTCTGAAGTAAATTTGGGACAAGGAAAGATAACGAGGTGGAGGTGAAAGGTGGGCTTGCAGCCGGAACGCTGATTGTTGAGCGTGGGCTGATTCGAGTACGGCAAGAGCTGGATGTACATCTATCATGGAATTGTGTCAAAGCATATATACCGGCGCGATATAGTGAATGGTACTTCTTCGCTTCAATCAGTAAAGAAGTTGAGCAATCAAGTTCTTTAGACCTCACAGACTTTGTGTACGCGATTTCCTACCTGACTTCATGTGCTGTCCCACATCCTCGCCACAAGTACCGACCTAACGACACAGAAACCTGGTACACGCAGCGTAGATTATGATGTATTCTAGTCATCAAGGTTCTTGGAGACATCATGAAGAGATATATTACGCTTTCATCATTGATTATGCAGGGAGGATCATATCTGCACTGTGCTACCAGACGAAGCAGTTCCTCGGACACTAGGCTTTCAAAGGATTAATGCCCATCTTCACCCATGAATTGGTTTGCATTTCCTACATCGATCTGCCTTCCAATTCCATACGCACGGATGCATATGCGCGCCTATCCTAAGCCAATACCTCATACTTCCATCTTCTCTGCCTCCTCGATAATATCCGAAGCCCTCTGCACTACAGAAAACAAAAGATTTGGGACCAAAAGGATGACCGCCTACTGGATGCAGACCCCTCCTCGTCACTACCGTTAACTTCGAGCGATTCGAGTCGTGCAAGAGCATCGTCGAGGTCAGCGGCGTGTTGCTGGAGAATTTCATCAGGCTCTCGGGATTCTAGCACGGAAGACGCCGTGACAGGGTCTGTAACAACTCCTCGTCCATGAATAGATCTAGCGAGAACAAGGGTATTGAGGAGCTCTGCAGCGCGAGGTTGGGGCACAACCTCTGGAATGCTGATGAGGTCTTCCAGAGACGGGCTCGGCTCCATAGGCTCGCGTCGTTTGCGTCTGAATCGTTGTCTAAATCTACATGTCTTCTTCTTCGGTATCAGACGTAGAGGCGATGGGCGTGGAGATGATGAACTTGGAGATGACGCGCGAGGAGATGTGGGACTTGGGGATGTTATACGAGGAGGAGATGTCGGATGTGGAGCGTCGGCGATCGGCTCGGGTACAGCAGTTGCTGGGAGCAGAGCAACTGTGTCATTCTCGTTGGTTGTGTCCGAAGCATTCATTGTCAATTGCTCGTCTTTCGGTAGACTCGATACGGTCATTCGAGCTGGTACCGTGTCGTCCTTTGTATCTGGTCCTGCGCTCTCGTATACGGTGACCGCATCACCGTCACTATCGTCGTTGATGGAAGAGCCCATATCTTGGGATGTCACCGTGATCCACGAGCGCAGTGAATCGTTGTCCGGGGTGCATAGATCGTCGTCTATGGGACAGCTCCACGAACTCCGCCTGGAATGGCCCTCTCCAGATTCATTGCATTCTTCTACCGTGCTCATAGCCGGTGAACCACGACCGCAGAACTTCAAAGTTGGCCGACCTCGGACCCTTGACAACTGGACCTTTTTTGCAGCATCCCATACAAGAGCCTTACGACAGCGAAAGCAATGTTCGACTTTACCTTGAAAGTTCCATTTGGTCACTTCGTCTCCGCAGAGGGGACAGATTCTGCGATCTATCCTTGTGTAGCAACAGTATATACGTTTATATTTCATTCGTCGTGATACTCTAGGCATGATGGGCGGGCGGATGGACGTATGGTTTATGGAACAGTGTATCTCTTCGTGAATGGGTAGGTGCGCCTCCGACTGCGGTGGCTACAAAGCGAACGTCGCGAGCGAATGCTTAGCAGTAACAGTGGTCGTTCCTGAACGCTAAGGCCGACTTTGAAGTGTAATGAATGCGCTGCGTCTTGTTAGCAAAGCCCTAGATCGCTGCCATGGTCTAATACCTCTGATAGTTGTAGAGATGAAAGTTGATACTGGCAGATGGTAGCGATGGTGCTGCAGTAATAGTGATATGGTGGAAGTCGAGTGGAACGTCGTTGTGTGAAATTTAACAGACAGACAAGAATCGGGGCCATCAGCATGGCAGCATGCACGTGCTATACATTCTTGGGAGTCGTGTTGGCAAGTGCTCCATGTCGTTTTGTCATATGTTCAAGGCAATCGCATCCGCTCTATCGTGTATCGTCATGGCACCGTCCGACTATTATTCCAACTCCACTTCTCTTTCTCGTGTGCGCAACGCCGAACTTCGGTTGCCGTCCTCTGGTTCTACGATGACCCAAAGACAAGTGGCGAGCCACTCATGATCATCGTAATCCAGAGAATATCTCAACAGGGTCATATTCGTCTAATGAGAGACATCGCGAACCCATGATGACCCCTCCCCGCTCTTCCCCTTCCTTTTTGACGACTCCCATTAGGTACAAACCTTGATACATTCGGTACAGCAATCTCCACAACAGTCCCCACAACTACTACAACAATCGCCCAAGCAATCTCCCATACTGGCAAAACAAGCAATGATGGCTTCGATGCACCAAGGTCCTGCTAATGTGCAGTCGAGCCGCTGAATACATCGTGTACAGCAGTCTTTTGGTTCATTATGCTCAGTTGTGAACTCTTCCGTATTGGCTTCGACTGGGGCGTAATTCATCTTGGATGGAATTGGTGAGATTGGCTCAGGGTTTGGGTGAATTTGGTAGTCGGTGGTAGGTGCTAAACGAGACCCCCTGTAGGATGGATGATGTAAGAACAGATGAGCTTGTAAGGGAGAAACAATGATGTATGCTGATAAGCAACGGAATCGCGACCGATCTAGATGAATTTGACACGTCGTAGAGTCTTTGTTCACCGCGTTACGAGTGGGATGCACGACATTTAATTTTCGACTCGCGAAGTTCAAACGCGCTTCGCGTGAGGCCACCCACGGACACACAGCCACCACATCGGCTAGTGGCACGTGGCTGCGCGCGCCGATCGAATGAACAGCCTGAAAAACCACACAGCCTCTGCGCGCGATGATTGCATCAGAACTCGGGGTTTGCGCTTTGATCGTCATGGCTCGTTGTGATAGGCCTTAAGGGTAGGCATATGCTATTCCTGTCTCGCGCGATCCTCAAACAGGTGTGGGATTGGTAACGCAGAATGCTCGATGTAAATTAAAAGTAGTATTCATTCACGATTTGGGTATCTTGTATATGCGCCCGCAGTACTCGCCAGTAGCAAAACTAAACCACATCTCTCCACACGGGAGGAAATGTAACAATTTGTGAAAAGTGACAAAATCTTCCGGCGTTGACAGATCTGAGCATATCATTGTGGTTCTCTACACCCGGATTACGATGTTGATACCCAAGCCTCTAGCTTCTCGAATGGAGCAACCCAAACAAGTGCGTCCTACATTGCTCACGATCGCGTGCAGGCCCTTCTCCGCACACCAGGCTCGTGCGAGCAACTGAAGATCTGATGAAGTCCGAGCATCAAGTACGAGCACGGATTTCTTACTATTCTTGATCATCTCTTCTGTTTCGCTGTCGTTGCTTCGTGAAAGATCGAGCAAACGCTCCGTAGACTTGGACGTGTGAAGCTCGAATGGCAGCAGGAAGTCAGGATCAAGGATATCAGTGACTGGTACCATCTTGTAGGTATATGACTTATGCAGAGGATGCGCGTTCATGGGCTTGCTGTTTGTTGCGAGCGTTTCGGCTTCTGGTCCAGTAGGTGGCTCGTACATGCGCTTCGGTGTAATATCTGCAGCGTCTGGAGGATGGGATAGGAGTGGCTCGAAGCCATGGCTGTTGCGGCGTGATAATGTCACGCTGTGTTTTGAAGAAGATCGCGAAATATTTCCGGTAACCGAACGTCTCATGACCTTGGGGCGATGAGTCAACGACGGAGGTGCAGATGCTGCAGTGGTACAGGGGAAAGAAGTGATAAATTGGACATCGTATGCCAGAGTGAGAGTGTGGCTCACTACTCCAGAGACAAAAGTCATCGACGGAGCATGGATATCGCTGTCAGTTGGTGGCCCTGTCAAGCTGTCACCATCGATGAGGTCCGTATTGATTGGAACCAGTTCCCACTGCAAGAAGGCGATGGAAGAAGTCGGAGACGAGTCAAGATCTTGAGGGAGCACAAAGTCCTCCGATTTTGTTGAAGTCAGAGCACCAACAGGCACAGTAGCTGACTCTTGAGCGACTACGTCCAAGCCATCTCTTACTCGCAAGCGGTTTTCGTGAGGAAGGACTTCGCTGTGAATCGAGTACCAACGCTCGCTGGGGCTGTCGGGTACCTTTGGACATGAGATCCAGCCCATGCACTCCGTGGAGCCTTTGACACAGGCTAGGATACGCCCCACGACAGAAGTTTTGCTCCAGAATGTTCTCTCACCAAAGGTAAACCCACCGTACAGATTTGCCGATTCTCCCAGGTTGGCAATAGCAGTGCTGTCATTCTCAAGCAGTGTCGATACGAGGAAGTGTGAGATCGCTTCTCCGGGAAGGATAAGACCAGTTAGATATGACCGACTGAGCCATCCTCCAATGTTAAAGTTGGAATTGGCATAGTTCTCGGGGACTGTAGAGATGGGGGACAGTGGCATGCGCAATGCGCGAGAGTTGTTGCGGTTCAGGGCAGGCTTCCCAACATGGCCAAAGTAACTGTCTAGCTGATGACCAGAGGCGAGTGGTGTTTGCAACGGCGTTCCGTACACGCTGATACCAGACGGAGTGGACGAGTCAGGCAATCTTCCACTGGGTGATGATGGTGTGGCGTCCTCCGCCTTGTCTTGCTCACCAAGCTTCCGGGCCAGATCTGTCGAGACTGCGTCAATGTTGGGCCACTGAAGTGTCTTGGCGAAGTGAAGCAGCCCAGAAAGTTGCTGGGATTGATGTTGTGGAAGTACGACAAGGTCTGACTGCGGTATCTCTACGTGGGCGCCTTGACCTAGCAGCGACAGCAGTCCGCGCAATTTGGGTTTCGGTGAAACTGGTGCATCGCTGCCCCTCATGATGACAATGTTGTCGAGAAACCTCCGCGCTAGAACCAAATCCCAATCAACTTTTTTCGTCTTGATTTTGAGAAATCCTTCGATGTCCTTTGCGTCAATCTGAAGCCGGACCTGGGCGTCGGCCGCATCGGCATTGGTGAAGGCATCTAGTCGGAGCAAGAGCTCACATGCCAAGGTGATTTGCAGCAACAGAATCTCCCGCTCCGTCCACATTGGCTGAGTTTCGTGTTCGGATGTTGGCTCAGGCTCACTCCACAATAATTGCCCAAGTCTTATCCTCCACTCGACGAGACTGAAGTCATACCAGACACCCTTCAGCCCCAAGACCCTGAGCAGGGCAACGATTTGCGTCTGCAACCCAGTGGGGTCATCCGTAGAGTCATCGTAACCCGGTGGCGTAAGGAACTTGGTGAACAGATTTGCGTAGAGATCTCCAGCGCTCTGGTTGTTCAGAATGGTCATGGGCTCGGGACTATCTTGGAAGGCTTCGTACATGTCCTGAAATTCTATCAAGCGGTCGTATATTAAGCTCAATTCGACCGGACGGATACCCAGACGCTCAGGAGATGTTTGCAGTGCTTCCTTGTTCTTGACTGACTCGAAAGAGTCCTTGCTTGATTGAGATTGTTCCAATTCATTGGCGAGAGTGTCAGACTTGGGCAACTCGAGGAAATGTGAGAAGCCAATAGTGCCCGGTTCGACACCCTGAGCACTAAGCATGCTTGGTATTTCCACCACATCTACTCGATATCCGTTGTACTGTTTCGAAGTGTCTGGTAGCGGCCGGGTCTTGGACGGATGCTCGTGTAGGGTCGCAGCTGAAAAGGCAGGCTCGACTAGAGGCACTGTGTCGGTTGCTTCTTTTGGAGCAGTGTCAATGTTCCAAGGGTAGGAGACTGTTGGTATGTAGCGGCTGTCTGTCTTTGTGACACCAAACTGAGGAGCTCCGGCGAAGAGGGTACGGAGCTGGCCTTCAGTGAGGGGTTCGACCTTGTCTTCCATGGTTTCTTGCGGCGGTGTTGGGACGCGATCCTGCTCTGCCTCTTGGACAGGAGACATGGTGCTGCCATGGTCGACTGGGCTGCTCGATTGCTCTTGAGTTTCTACATGGTGTGTTTGCTCGGGCGGGGACTGTGGGGTCGGCTTGTCTTGCTTGGGCGGTATCTGTGATAACAAGTTTGCGATTAGCTTCCTCATGATCAGGCTGGAAGGGCAAGGACGGCAGTAGAGGGAAAGAGCGATGGACGTACGGGTGCAGCTACTTGGTCGTGTCGCTGTGATTGCTTTTGCTTCCAGGACCTGAAGAACTTCAAGACCCTCTGTCTCTTGCTGCCCTTCCTCAGCAGCGTTCCCGCATTCTCGTCAACCATGTCGTGGTGCAGTCTTCGCAGCATCCTGGCGGCCTGCAGCAAGGCAGGGTAGGCGAGGCATGCCGACGGACATTATAAGGGGATAAGGGGACATCAACAAAGCTCAGCAGGCTGGGCGCGACACACGGCTGCACACATGCACACAAGCACGTCAAACATGGCAGATATCCCTGCATGACAGGCGCGCGAGTCTCGATGGTTGGTACGAGGTTGCAGCTGGTCCCTGTCCCGCATCAGTCAGGGCGATCAGCTGGAATGACGTCCAGCGTATCGCGCCGACCTGCATGGGGCCAGCCCACCTGCACCACTCCTAGCTGCAGCCGCAAGCTCGTCAGGCCAAACCTTTCTTCTCCCAATCACGCCACACAGTCTACACGACAACCAAGGCAGCGTCCAAAAGTCAAAACAACGCGTTTGCACTATATCACCAACGCCCTCTAGAGGCCGTTGCCTATGACGCTATACCGGTCCGCTCGCCTCCAGGTTCCAAGTCTATGAACTGGCCCGTGCCAAGCTTCTAGAACGTGGAACCGGGTCGCTCATTTCCGCACGCCTAATCTTATCGCCTATCCAAGCAACAACACCGCGTACCGTCCACGTCGGCACCTCGAGTCTTCTATGCGAATTGATCCCGTCAACTATCTAGTATGTACTGCCTTGCTCTGTCTTTGTGCGAGTTATGGAAATGTACCTCTACTGCCCAATCATTAATTTTATGCAAGAATGTCTCCACACGTCTCTATTTGATTGCTCAGACAATACCAGTCCCTGAGACTATCGTCTTGCCAATCATGGCATCTATGCCTTGACCCCGCATGTTGCAGTGGTTACACAACACCACTTCACCGTTCACCAGTCCCGCACTAGTGCAAGCAATGGATTGTTGTCGCTTAACATCACTTTCCATGATACCACAAATGCGAGACCCTGTTTGAGCAGCACCCTCAACTTCAAGATGGGTTTCCTCGATGACGCGCGAAGTGTGGCCGAGAAGTCCGGGCGAGAAGCGACGCAACATGTTGGGTTCGCTGCGGGCGAGACATGGAAGTACGGTAGCGTTCTGGGTCAAGAGGTAGCAGAGCGAGCGGCTCCAGTCGCCGCAGACGCCAGGAAGACTTTGGAAACTCTCAGCAAAGAAGTGAGCAGGCGCGCTGCTCCCGTTGCCAACAGTGCCTCGAAGCAAGCGACTTCATTCGTCCAATCCACCTTCAACAACGCCAATCAACGTCTACCTCAACTCATTGATGAGAAGCTGCACAAAGACTTCGACTGGAAGTTCATCGAGGATTTTGGAGAAGACATGGCGAAGCAGTTAGCCAGCACAGCAGACGATTTCTGGCAGAAGATGAACAGTGGTGATACCGGCCAGATCAGTTTACCCGAGATTCATTTCACCCAGGAAGACTTCTCAGGATTCAGTGAGAGGCTCAAAGAATGGATCCTCTTCAATCTTGAGCTGTTCATTGCCTTGGTGGCTTGTATCGTGTCTATCGTCTTGGTCCCTGCCATCGCCGCCGGCATACCCACAATGCTCGCGCTCGTGGGCTTTGGACCTATTGGTATTGTTGAGGGTACGTATCGGTCCCCTACACCTATCTCCCGATGAATTTCTGATGTTTAATCTAGGCTCTTTGGCCGCTGGATACCAGGCTAGCGTTGGACCCATCGCTAAAGGTAGCGCTTTCGCTATCCTAACTAGTGCCGGAATGGGTGGGTATGGGCTTGGGATTGTCCAAGCAATCGCCATAGGCCCAAGTTGCATAACCGCGATCGGAACGTGCGGTATCGCAGCCGTAGCGTTCTTGAAGGCGGTGAAGGAAGACGAGCAGTGTCAGAAAGAGAAGACGGAGTAAGTGGCGATGTCAAAAGATCTAACAAGATCAAGAACGAAGACCTGTTCAGCATGCAGCTCTGGAATTCGTCTCAGGACGATGGAAGTAATGGTCCTCAACCGGCAAAATAATCATTATACATCCCCAACTAAGCGTATCTTGTCCCAACTACTTTGTTTGTGCCATCCAATTCTACATCAGCTCTGCTTCCATCGTGAAGCTCGTACACCTAAATGAAAGTCAGTTTCGCGTTCCATATCAGAATCCCACATTGACATCTCCACTTACCGGTTCCTGATGCTGCATCTCAGCTACTGCATATACGTTCCCATTGTCCTTCTTATCGTCCTGTTTCTCAACGCTTTCCGGCCGCTTATCTTCGAGGTCAATTTTGTTTCGATTCCGCCTCCTTCGGATCAACATAGCCGCGATCAGACCCAAGAAAACCGCTGCGCCAACGCCAACACCCACTCCAACGCCGACATTGCGCCCTGTGTGCGACGTCTCCTTCTTGCTTGATTCATCTCCTTCGGTTTGGCCAGACTGGTCTGTCGCCGCAGACGTCGATGCAGATGGCGATGCAGACGTCGGCGTTGATTCCGCACCCGTAGAAGCAACCGTAATAGCACCCGTGTAACTCGGCCCTATTGATGCACCTGAAGAAGCCGGTGCCGATGCCGCACCGGAAGAGCTCGCCTCTGTATCTTCCCCAAGTCGTTTTGGAATCCTGATTTTCTTCGTCTTCGACGAGCCAGTAGTAGATATAGTCGAAGAACTACAACACTCGTTGCTATCTCCACAACACCAAAATTCCGATGTAGGCGTCCCGTCACAAGGCGTCATCTGCGCACTGTCATTCGCAAGATCGCCATCTTTGCAAACATTTATGCATCCTTCCCAGTTCTCGTTCGCACAATTCACCCTGTAGAAATGTGTCCATTCTGGCACTTCTTGTCCTTGTACACTGCTAAAGCCTCTGTTTTGACAAAGCCCGTTCGGCAGGCATTCATCCGCCGTAGGGCCATTTTTAACGTCGCCTCCTGGTGGATTGACCCATCCAGACTGGCAGCATGTATAGTAGAGCGGGTCGTCAATCGATGAGGCACAGCGCGATGTTCCAGAGTCGAGGTGCTCGGTACCGTTTGGGAGGTAGCAGGTTGCTAAGCTGGACGGGAGCGTGGTTAGGAGGAGAAAAAGTGGTAAAGATATAGACGGTTGCGAAAGCATCGTGGGTATCGTGATAGGCGTTATAGTGGTTACGTTTGGTGTTCTCACGACGGATGAAAGCAAGATGGGAGGGACGCGATAAAGACAAGCGACTCCGACGCTTGAAAAACGCCTAAGATCCTACCTACATGTAATCGTGTTTGAGACGACTCAACCTTGCACGTGTGGATAATCCCTTCATTAGCGTTGGGGACAGTGGGCTGTGTTCTCCATTTTACAATTGGCTACACGATTCAGGAGTGGCTGAACATCGTGGTTTAGGCATCCCGCAATGTCCGCACGTCCCCTTGAGGTAATTTACAGCCGATCCTACGGCTCCAACCGTTTTTTCCGGTGGATGACCAGGCACCCAGGTTAACAATTGCATGTAATTCGGAAAGTGTATGCAAAAGAAAAAGATACATAAAAAGACTATAAACTACATATCATAGGAAAATTGAACGAAGGGATGGGTATCTCGCGCTAAGGTAACGAAGGACAGAAAACATGCTACGTCGCCTACGAAAGGAAAGTGCCAGTTTTTGGTAAAGGATTTGCGATCTCCAAACACATGCCAAGCTCAGGCCTGCCGACTGAGCAAGAACTCGACCGCCCGATCGACCCTCAATCCGTCGCCAAGATCAGTTAATCTTAGCGCTTCTCTCGCCTGGTCGGCTGTGAACCCCATTTCCACGATGCGATATATCGCTTTGTCGGCCGTATTCTCATGACTTCGGGATCCAAAAATGTGGTGCTGCTGTTCGTGTTGTTGGAGGGCCACGCTTCTGGAGCTGAAGCTTCCAGAGGACTGACTGCCTTGACGCATGTGGCGCTCGCTGTAAGGCAATGACATGGGATGAGGTCGGAACGCGGGGTGAGGCGGGCCGGGCGGTTCTGAAAGAGGATGGTGGAGTGGGTCTTCAAGAATAGAAGGCATTGAGGTGCCCGTGCTGTAGCGATACCAGTCACGGTTACTTGGCACCGTTGTGGGTGACGGTGTTGGTAGAAGCGGTTGAGCAAACATACGACGGGGTGGAGAGCCCACGCTTGATACACTGCCCATGGTGTACAAATCACGGTTACTCTGTACCGTTGATGCTGAAGGGGATGGGAGAAGAGGCTGCGCTACTGTCCGGCGTGGCGGCAACGGTGGTTGTTCTTCAATGGATGGTAGATCAGAAGTTACACTACGTCGATCATGGTTACTAGGTACTGTTGAGGGTGGAGGTGTTGGAAGCAGCGGCTGAGCAACAACTCGACGAGGCGGTGAGGACGTTCTGCTGGACGTTGACCTGGAAGCGGGAAGAGGTACAGATGTTGCCACTTCCTCTGCAGAAGCTGATCTCAGGGCTGGAACATGCGTGATGATCTCATTCCCTGGGCCTTGGGGTGGAGGCGGCGGTCGTGTCAAATTTCGAATGACAGTATCCCACTCTGACATGGGCCTTTCCTGGGACATACGAATCATTGGCCGAGGCTCACCACTCTTCTTACGATGCTGCAGATCGTGTATGTGTTTCTGAATACGAATCTTGGACTGCTGGCGCTGTACATCGCGGATAGATATTTTGGCGTACTTGTGCGCGATCTTGTCTTCATACACGCGTCGGGCTGCTTCTTTGAGGAAGTGTTGTCGGGTACCATCAAGCACAGGGGGCTTCCAGTTCACCCATCCTTTCTCAGCTGCAATAGTGAAGGCTCTTGGATCCGAGGGGTGATATGGGCCAGTGAGCCTAACGACAGTGTCCAGGCCGAAGGTAAGAAGATAATAGATCCACTCGTCTGGTTTGGTTAGCAAGTTTCGTGGTACGTTGGAGGGATAGACGAACTAAGCATCATCTCTTCGCCATCAATATCGCCACCTCGAATATCAGTGTTGTCGTAGATGCCAGCTTGTCGAGCCTGAACAGTGCGCCCCTCGAAATTCTGAAGCAGAACCGAGAGGCAGGTCCATAGTTCCATCATGTCAAAGAGTTGTTCGGCGGCCAAACCACCTACATTCCCTTGCCCAAAGCACTCCGGTGCACCGACCATTGTGTCGCTCATGAAATCTGTGCTCATGATGCTGAAGGTGCAGGTCGCCTGGTGCACTAGCATACCGCCATTGAGCCAGTCCGTCTGGGCAACGATATCCTCCTCACGTCCTTTTCCTGAGCCAAATATCTTGCAGAACGTCCAGATACGCCACAAAGCGTCATCAACCCTGGCCGACTCGGCTGGACATGCACTCACGAGCGCAGCCGATATTTCCGGTCGAACGAAAGACTGACACTTCTCTAAGATCTCTGATTTGATGGCACGTATGACTTGGATGTCTTGCTTCTGAAGCTTGAGATATGACGCGGGGTTGTATTCCTCTTCAGGTCGTGTCGTCTCCAGGTCTTCTGCATGTAGATGGTCGTGTCCGGGAAAGGCAATTTCCCTGAACTCCCAGGCTGGCGGCGACATCTTCCGCAGGGTAGACTTGATGAGGTCGAGTTCATGGCGTTTGAACACACGATAGAAGCCTTGGTTAACAAGAGCCGCGGCAAAAAGATCATTGAAGTGGTCCAGGTGTTGGAAAATACTGAGTATAACCTTCTCAGCTCCAGCAGGCGTAATAGTCGGCTGGGCGTCGTGCGTTGCAACAGGAGGCGAAGAGAATACTAGATCCACACTTGATCTCTTAAACTGCGGAATCATAAGGGTCAATGCTGTGCTCGATCGGGAGCACTGTTGCATCATCTGCGAAGCGATGTGGTTATGTGGCAGGCAGTCAACTCCGATTGTCTTCCTGGCAGCCGATTGTCGCCTGCTGGATTTGCGAGGGACGACTGGAGGTGGAGTGTCAGGTAGTACGACATCGACCGGATCTATCCGGGGCTGGCTCTCAGTATCAATCAACTCCCCGCCCTCAGCTGGAAGTTCATGTACGCCCTCCCGGAAAGGGTTGCCTTCTGCAAGGGGCCTCCGATCTTGGAGACATGTCCGAGGATCGCTATTACTACCAAAAGAAGAAGCCAATTGAGCGTGCAGGTCGCACTCAGCCTCACTGAGCGTAGGGCTAGATGCACGTGGAGGTGTTGGAAATGCTCCAGATGCGAAGGAGATCGCTTCGTTGACCATGGTCATGCCCGCGTCCGCGGCAGAATTCTCCCGCGGACCGCTCCGTTTGGAGGACTTTCGGCTCAATCTTGGCTTGCGCTGTGTAACATGTAGGGCACAAGTCGGTTGAAAGAGGAGGTCCTCCTCGCTGGAACATCGATGGATGTATGCACGAGGTGGCACCGTCGGTGGAGCATGACACTTGTCCCCTACTGAATTCGTTGTGGTCCTAAAGGAAGAATACAACGATCCTCCAGGCACTATAGTCTGGCCACTTGGAAGATACACTGAGTGTTGTAATGCCTTTTCCTGCTTGGGAGAAATATCGTTCTCTATGCTGGTCTCTGAAGAGCGATTGCTATGCAGCGATGAGGCATCGCTCTCTTGTGATTCATTATTCGAGCTACTCGATTCGAAGCTGCTCTTGGGATGCTCTGGAATGTGGCGCTCTGATCTTGGTATGCACTGCGTTTGCGACTGCGCAAGTGGAGATACGATAGAATCCCGCATACGATTGTGGCTTGCTGATGGTGGCGATACTTCGTGGTTGCCTCCAAGCTCGATGGGGGATGAGTCGAAGAATGGAAGAGCGGGAAGTGGTTTTCCACAAGGGATTACTACTTGTATCTTAGGCTTTGGGCTCGGGTGCTTCTCCCTGCTTGGATTGTTTCTCGTGTGGCTGACGGGGGAGCTGCGATTCTTTCTTCGCCATTGGATCTTCCCGTGTTTGTAAGTTCCAATCGCACCTGTAAGCGATGCGTGGCTCGATATCGACGTTTTCTCTGCCGTAGGACTGGCTCCCGTCCCTGCATCTAGCGAAGGATTGCGCTTCCTCTTTCTGCACGGCTTACGCCAGATAGATGCTGATCTTGAAGGGGTTGGTACAGTAGAGCCGGCTGATAATGGTGAGTTGCTATCATCTGCAGACAGCGGAACTTGCATTGCTGTGTCTTGCTGACGAATGTGGAGACCCGCTTCATCTTCCGTGCTCGCTGGAACAGCCCGCAAAATGGTGGCTGACTTCTTCGCGTTTCTCTTTAGTAAACCTGACATTCTTTTCCGTTCAGCAGACGAGGTGCTTCAATCAAAGAAAGGTAGGAGCATGTAAGCTGTCGCACTTCAGCTATTCGATTAATGACGTAGCAGGCTGCAGTAATTAGTTATGAGGATGCGTTGAGGTCGCTGGGGATGAGTAGTTTTGTAAGGGATCCCCCATCGGAGCCGCGACTGCATAGACAAGTCGGTCACGATTGCAGGGCATGGACAGTATATCGTCCGAGGCCAAGATAGCCATGGCCTAAGGTGCTACTTGACGCCAGAGAGCCCCATGAATAGCCCGGCCGTGGCGTTCCGGACAGAGGATGCATGCAGTGCCCTGCGAAAGCTGAGCTGAGTGAGATGGAGGCCGACTCCGTATGGGCGGCCATGGAAGCATGGGTCAACGCTCGGAGTGTCCAATGACGCACGATCGCTAAACATGCCTGCCTGACGGTTGCGAGACGTACGTTATCACAAGGATTCGTTGTTGTGAGGCATAGTTAGTTTCGGGGTGCAATCAGAGACATTCAAGGTTGTTGTGGTTGTCGGACCCCGCTGGGTGCGAGGACCGATTGAGTCGGATTGACGCTGGGGGCCGTGCTATTTGCGGCACGACCTGCTTGCTCAGCCATCTGCCGCGCTATTTCGGGGGCCATCGCGTCGGGATTCACGATGTCCGCCTGAGACTACTCTGTACGCACTGCGCCTTACTGAGGCATACCTATATGAAGAATATCCAAACCCCACGGCGCAGTGCATCTTTCCCGGACTCGTTTCAAGTTCCCAATCCTAATGCCCCTGATCCCAGCACTGATGGCGCTCCAAGGCTGTCTAGTCCCAACCATGACGTCGCTGAGTTCCACTTCATACAACTGTGTTGGTCTTACTAGGGTAACTGTTGTTGGCTACACGACATTCACACGGCCAAAGAGAAATAATCAGGCGTGTCTGGGGACACCCGGCCCCATCATGTACGGCACGTTCATACGGACGTGAGCAACCGCATGGCGCAGAGATATACTCTCCGACTCAGACGGACTTCGCAACTTTCTTTCAAATATCCCGATTGATCGTCGTTCGGCACATACAGTATCTGAGGGGCCTATATGTGTGATTACGTTGCCTAGCCTTGGTTGCGGTAACAGCCGTGGACGACGGTTTCGGCCCGCATGATCAGTTTCCTCGACTCTCATAACACAGTCATCATTTTCGTCCGGAGGCTCGAAGATACCACATTCAGAGATTTGCATGCAATACGACGCTCTGCATTGGTAATTTGCTCCTTGGCTACAAAACAGTGAGCGATTGTCAGAAGCCTTCTGCCGCCAACAATAGAGACTGGGGAAGAACACTCTTGCTAATCAGTGAAGGAATCTCGCGTTAACTAAAGATATCTGTAATCAGACATAAGACAAGCTCAGCACTCTATGCATTCCAAAGCAGCACTGAAAGAAACCCTCTGTACCCAGCGCTAGTAACAAGCAGCAGACACGACCTGCTAACTATTGATCTCTTTGCGATGTAAGGTTGTTCTATTGCTTCTTGCGCGCCTTAGCGATACCGTTACTGTGAAGCATTGCGAGTCCACCAAAACAGCATTCTCGCACGGCAAGCTGGTGATGCCAAACTTTGCACCAAGCAATGGCGATCGACAATCCTGAAGTACACCGATAGTTCTACATCCTCCAAGATTTTCACTAATCAGAGACATTCACAGCGGATCGCTCAAGCAGGTGAAAAAAACAGCTAATACACGTAGCCCTCCGGAGCGGTATCTCACTAACCTACCAGAATTGCGGGCGAAACCAAAGTCATCAATCGGACTGGGCGAAGCCAACTACACCATGAGCAACAGAAGCATATAGGTAACACTGTCAATGTTGCTTTCTCTTTGACCCACACACTGATATCAGCTGGCCGAATGGTCTAAACGCGCGCCTGAGAGCCCTCCATCATCATCAGCCTCCCTAGCTTGCGACCTGTTCGACGCACCGATCCCGATCCCCAGTTCAAAACTAGGCTGCAAACACGGACTCTTCGATACTGAATAATATCTCCAGTCACACTGTGCATCGTGTCAAAAGTTTCCAAGAGCTGTCCGCCCGAGCTGCAGAACCGCGCACGGAGTTCCTTTGAGCTTACCTTGCTGGCAACAAAGGTACCCATCCTGTGTATCCAGACATGCGAGCGTAAAGAGTCAGACAAATACAGAGAAATCGGCAGTGTGCAGACTAGCATCGACCAAGCAAGGTGATTGTGATGCGGAAGCTGTACTCTGAATCTCGGTTGTTCCAATGGAGTATGGGTTATATGCTCTTATTCAGAGTCAAAATGGTTCTTCCACATCGCTTGACTAGAAGTCCAGTATCCAACCATTTAGTCAGGAATGCGTCGCTTGCGAGTCAATTTAGACGCATCGCTCTCCAATACACGTGGTGGCTGTTGTGGTGGTAGGTGCTAAGCAGTCTAGAACTCACGCTAGGTACGATGGCGCCATGGTGACTAGCTTTTCAAGGCTGAACAACGGCCACATCACCCCTTAATGTCTCGTTCTTGTGCTCACAAAGCTCGTATAGGTACTGCAAGAGGGACATTTCCAACGTTCTTATCCTTCGTGGTTCTCCTGGCCGAGGCTATCTACCTAGGTACTTACGAAAAAGACGTGGCGCAACCATCAGCAATCCTTGCTGTATATCTTCCGAACAACAGGTCTACGGGTCGATCCCCTGATGTATACTGTGTCAGTAATTTCGGTTCAGCCGATGCTTCTTACTAGATCCAGACCCCTGGAGAGACCTTACCTGACCGTTATGGGACAAGCAGGCCCAAATAGTACAAAAAGCATTTCATACCGCCGTCAATTTCCTTAGCTTCTCGTCTACCCCAGTATTTGCACAACCCATGCAACAGCCTCATGATTGATATAAGGAAGGGCTATCACCAGCTTCGGTGCGGTGAGCTTAGTCCGACTTCATACATTTGCTTAGTCCTTCCTTTAGAAGTCTGTCGTTTCAGTTGCAGTCATGTTGTCCCTTCCGGTGCTCATCGTAACATCTCTACTTGCCAGCATCGTAGATGCTCAACGTGTATCGACGAACGGCCGTTGCGGCGCAAGCTTTGGCCTCACCTGTGCTGGGTCAAGTTTTGGGTCCTGTTGCTCATCGCAGTCGTGGTGGTAAGTTCGCTGCTGTATACCGTATGTATTCCTCCCCCACGCTAACAAGCATAAGCGGCACGACACCAGATCATTGTAATACTGGATGTCAAGCAAATTACGGACAGTGTAAGACACCGACAACTGCTCCTACAACGAAGGTTTCAGAGGATGGACGCTGTGGTCCACAACATGGAGGTCAAACCTGCGCGGGTTCGCGCTTCGGTGATTGCTGCTCGCAGTATAGGTAAGAGTGGCTGTGCCGAACCAACCAAAACAATCTAATGGGCTGCAATAGCTACTGTGGAAGTACAAACTCATACTGCGCCGCCACTACTTGCCAGAAAGGTTTTGGCTCATGTAACGGTGCCTCGTCCTCCTCTGCCACTGGGTCAACCTTGACCTCCGTCGTCGTACCTCCGCGATCATCTTCCGCCGTAGTTGGTACTTCTTCTTGCTCTGCGGTTACTGTGACCGCATCTCAGTCTGCTATCACGGTTTCTGGTGCTATCACTACAGTTACGCTGCCTGGTGACAAGGTTACCACAACGATCACGATTCCAGGAGAGGGAGAAGTCACCACGGTTACGGTTCCCGGAGAAAAGACAACGGTGACCCTTCCTCCGTCGACCTCAACGCTCACAGTTCCTGGTGCTGGGGAAGTCATCACCATCACTGTACCTGGGGATGAAAAGACGTCTACACTGACCGTTCCCGGAGAAGGAGAAGTCATCACCGTTACGATACCTGGAGCACCATCAACTGCAACAGTATCTGTGACAATTGCGGGCGAAGACAAGACCTCAACTCTCACGATTCCAGGTGCTGGAGAAATCACAACCGTCACAATTCCTGGAGATGCTGCGACTGTCACACTTCCTGCCGCGACTGTAACAGTACCAACCACGCTCCCTGGCGAAGAGACAACATCTACCCTCACAATTCCTGGTCCGGGAGAAATCACTACGGTCACAGTACCCGGCGAAGCCTCGACCGTCACAGTTCCAACGACAGTAACCCTACCTGGAGAGGATTCTACTGTCACGCTTCCCGTCACTCTCTCAGCTGAGACCGTCACCCTCTCTGGCGACCTAGCAACGACTACTGAAACGGCTCCCGCTTCGACAGTCACCGTCACAGCAACTGCCACGTCCACTGCTGGTGCTGGTTCATGTTCTCCAAGTGCCAATGCCGTTGTCAACGGCGATTTTGAGACTCCTCTATCTGGCACATGGAGTGTCCTCACTGTCGACAATGCGATCGTGGAACGAGTGAGCCTTCCAGGGAGCTCGTTCGTTGTTCGATCAAGGGTCAACGCCGGAAACAACAATCTGCCGCAACGCCTTGTCCAGGCCATCACTCTGTGCCCTGGAACTACTTATCAAGTGGGTTTCCAGGCGCGACGCGTAACAAGTAGCGGTACTATTTCTGCAGTGGCCTATGTCAACGATGTTGCTCTAGCTGGTGGTGTGGTCGCGGCCACTTCTTTCACCTCTGTTGCAACTATCAATGGTGGGTATTTCAGTACCACTGCCAGTACCGCTATCCTGAGGATCGAGTTTACCTATTCAGGTTCATCTGGTGTAGCGAAGGAGGTCCAGGTTGACAATGTAGCGATTACTCCGGCTTCGTAGGGTGACCGCGAGAAAGAGGAAGGTCAATTAATTTTTGATACACATCCTCCTTTTATTGATGAAATTTTTTGCCTTTCACTTGTTTCCTGTCGAGCATACTTACATGAACAACAATTAACGTCTTACCCTCCACTCTTCTACCCACTCTCTCCTTCATCCTATCTTCTATCAGACTGCAGACTACATAACGTTAACAGTCTGTCCACTCCACTCTTGAACTCTAATGTAACATCTACAGTCATCGACGAGGAAATGACTTAACTAACACGGTGGTATTTGCTCGTAATTCTCATAGTCTAGAGAATGATTTGAGTAGGTTGTGGAAAGGTTCTAGAAAGCCTTCTCGAGTCCACCCACCGCTGCATCTTGGTTGTATTAAAGAAGCATGTACTAAATGCCGTTGTTCAAATCACATCAGTAAGTTCAGCCAAAGATGACCTCGATAAACAACGCCGTTCTAGCGCCTTGATAAAAGAATGAAAAGAATGGGTTTAGTACTCCAGGCTTTCAAATTAGTACTGGTCTCTTCATCGTTATCGTAGTGACCACAATTATTTTGTAATTGTAACGCTTCGTCTGTCTTTAGCGACAACGGCTCAGAAAGGTTAGACTCAGGCAAGCCATGGGGCTGGCTATACTCCAATTGAGCCACACATCCGATCAATACCCACAATGTCTTCGTTTGCGAAATAGTGGCGTATGTCAGCCAATACAAGCAGTGGTTAGGCATACTGTCACTCCTCAGCCCCGTGAGTGATTTCACCTCCTGTCACAACGTCACAGCTCCCTTCGAACACCTTCTCACAGCATGTCAGCTGTTCCTTGGAAGCAGGAGATCAACTTCGGGAGTGCACTGCTGCTGCATTCTTGTATCACTGTCTTTCTCAAGGAGATCAGCAATGGCTTCGCAGTACTCTACCATCTCTCGATCCGTCATAGGGACAAGGCTGGAATCAAGACATCTATCGTGCTTGATGGCTACACTTCCGTCTTTTCGAAAGATCACGATGGTGAGCTTGCAGAGCTGTACTTTACCAACACTGGGTTCATTCTCTTGATCATCTCCCTCGCCTGTGCTATTGCGATGAACCTACTTCTACCAGCCACTGTACTCAACACTCTTATCGCAGCGACATTCGGCTTGACATTCTTCGCATCAGCATTGGTGGCTTGCCGAGAGAGAAGCCTAGTGATGCCGATCATGGCACTGAGAAGGGCTGGTCGTTTCATCTGGTCCGATACTCCGTTCGTGAACTTCTTCACGTTGATCTATGTCGCAGTAGTCTTGAAGGGTTCATCTGATAAGATAGTACTCAGAGACTACGTGGTGTTCCGGTCTATTGCCATCCTCGAGTTGGTGTTCATGAAGGCGAGAATCGCAGCGGCTTCTGTAGATATACAGCAGACGATGTTGGAACGACTCCTCGACAGCGAGTATGTCATGGTCAGAGGTGTAAGTTACCAGAATTTAATGCACTTTCAAAATGCAAGAACATCTCTCATTTCGACAGAAAGCCTTTCCAAATCCACGAACTGCACCGCCGTTGCTCGAGCGTGACCGCATCGTCTCCTTCTCCAGCTCACAGCGTCTCTCCGTCATGCTCTACAAAACGACTATCGGTTATGCCGATGGTTCACTATGTGGCGCTTCCGGCCCTGTCGCCATCACAGTCCCGAAGAATTCTGGATTCTTCATCGACGAGGCTGAGGAGCGTGGCTGGCGCATCTACCGCGTCTCGCCTACCCTCATCGTCATTGAGGATTGTATTCAAGTGATGATCACAAAGTTGCGCGAGAGAGCGCCAACGAAAGAAAGACGAGGCTTGGTGTTGCTCTTCACTCGGTTCATAGCATGGACTCATGGGGTACTGCTGCGGCGGTTAGGTAGGCGAAGAGTAGTTTGGTTATCGAGAACGAACGGACATGGGTCGAAAGAGGATTACTGGAGAGGAAATGCTAATCTTGTGACGGGCTTGAAGGAAAGCTGGTTGCACAGCCGACAAAAGTTCAAGTGCTTAGACCCTGTAGAAAACGATGCGCTGATAAGCTACGAGATAGTACGTTGATAAGCAGAGCATCGAATAGAAAGAAAAGGATTAATTTGGGCATGATGAAAGAACGTGAACCACGGGTATTACTTTCACGAAACCAGAGCTGAGACTAAGCAAACACTGTAAACGCGTGTTATCTCCATACACTGTGCTATTGCCTTTTGAATGCTCACACCAGGCCTGAAAAAGCTTCTCGGTTTTTTGCTCTTTCTCTCTCCTTAATAGAGCAACCAGCCGAGTAGGAACCAGAGCAAAGACAACACCAAGATGCCATCCAGCAATACCGCTGCCACTACCACCCCACTCCCCACTCCTCCGTCCTCACCCAGGCTCGCACCCCCATCACAATCTCATATTCACTTCGGCGCCACTCGCCACCGTAGTCCTGTCCCGCGCTTTCCTTCCTCATACTCCCACTCGAACAAATCCTATTTCCCTAACCAGCCTCAAGCACTGGGCACCCAAGTCACTCTACAGAACTCATCTTCATCTCCAAGAAAACCAGCTCAGAACTTTGTGGACATGCTGACAGAAGAGCAACTGAAATCTATGTCTGATCTGGACAAAGAAGAGGAAGCGAGGCTATCAAAGACACATCGGGAGAAATTGAGGAAAATGGGTTTGGGAATATCTAGATTCGTTGGTCGACTGAAGAAGAGTGGTAGTAGTGTTGAGAAGGACGGGAAATCGAAGTAGGGGACTGGGGAGCGCATTGGGCAGGGTTAAATGGGTTGAGATCACAGCTTTGTTGGTGCGTTGATTGCGTTGACATGCGTAGGCGTAGCGTCCTGGAAATCGAGCGTTCCATGAAAGGAAAAGCAACATGTTGAAGAATGGCTACCAGTTTCGTGTTTGATCATTTATTTGCTGAAATTGCAGTGCGGACGCAACGAAGAAAACGAACTTGTTAACTGATTTGACAAACGAACATGATAATATTGTACAGCGACCGTCATTTCCGACAGGATAACCAAGATAGGAAAGTAAAGCAAAGCAAAACGGGGTATGTGACAAAGACCAGTGTGGATGAAAAAGGACACGCCGTTCTACTAAGCAAAGGTACCGGAAGCAGTAAGGAGACAGCTGCAGCGACAGGAAACTCGGGGTATATGTCGTAAAGTCATAAATTTGGTGGGCGGTTCAGGCCCGTCATATAGTGACATGACTGACTAGTAGCGACGGAAATCGACACTTCTGGTTTATTCTTCATTTTTTTTTAGTTCCACTTTGATCTCAGATAATCATCATCGTCGTATGCCGATCGGGTTTGAGAGTCGAAAGATCCGTTCATGCCACCAGTACCACTTCGCTGGCGAGTGTGCCTCTTGGTGTCAGAGTCTCTGCCGTAACGATGAGAGTCATCCGGGACATTGTGCATGTTAGAAGCGTAGTAGTTATTGGGGATGTCTCGCACCGCCGGATCGGACTGAGTACCGTAATTGGAAAAGCTTGGGCTTCGAGGTCGAGCATTCGAGCCGTGACGAGGCTGTTGGTGATAGTGAGCATCAGGAGGGGGCGGCGCAAATGGCCCTTGACCGGCATTTGATTGTGCGCGTCGACGCCTCTCATTCGCAGCACCATCAGAGTAGGTACTAGAGCTCATGTCGTCGGTGTACGATTTTCCGCCACCTGGAGCCGCTGAATATGGCTTGCGCTCTCGTTCGATGGGTACTGATGTAGACATGGGCTCGTCTTCGAAGTCAAATGGCCTCACTTCAGGCTTTCCGGAATATGGGCTGCGTTCGCGCTCAAGTTTAGGCCCTGATGGAGGAGCCGTCTTGGGCGGCGGCGGGAAGGTGGGCGCCCTGCGTAGCGGACCAACTCCCTCAGAGGACAAGGCTGCGGCACACCTTTGCTGCGCATGTAGGTTCTCGACGGTTGGGAACATCCTGCGGGGAAGTTCTTTCGGGAAGCGTTCCTTCCGGTCGTCTGCGTTGCTGATAGGCATGTCCAAGATTGCTTTCACCAATCGCTCGTACTCGGTATCGGGATAGGCCTGAATCATTGTAGTCATCCACTCCTGAAAGCCTGCAGGAGTAAGTGCAGGGATGTAAGGTGCCTCGGCGGGATGCTCCTGAATGAGATGGTGCTGGCATCGCATGTCCCGGTATATCTTTGACAGTGCCGAATAAGAGACTTCTCCGAAAATTGCTACGTATGTTAGCATAAGAGTGGGACTATAGACGCTAGCCTGTCTTACTTGACCAAGGGTAAATCTCATCCTTGAGTTTGACTTCTTCATAAAACTTGAGCATCTTGGCAGGAGAGATGACCAAACTGTGCTTTGGTTCGTAGTCTTCAATCTATGCCATCGTTAGCACGTTGTTACTGTTTGAACTTGAGTACGCACCAGATGCAGAGCCAAACCGCGCAAGAGCTGGCCGAGACGAGGTAGAGGCTGACCGTCTGCCTCGAACAGTCGCTGCCACATCTTTTCAATCGGAGTATAATCTTCGGTCATCATTCTGGGTGCAAGGCCTGGTCGCACAGACGGTCGCTCCCGCTCTACCGGTGCGCTTCTCTCAGGACGTGGGGTAGGAATATCACTGTTGTTCCCATCCAGCAGCGGGTCGCGATATAAGGGGTCGCGCTCCGGAGATGGTTGGCCTGGAAAGTCGGTGCGCTTCGGGGAAGGCGGGGTATACACGTCGCGGGGTGGAATCGAGTCTGATGTTGACATTGGCGAGGGCGGACTCCATTGTTGCGGGGAGACGGGTACGGCTTGAGCGTGTGTCGTACCAGCCATGCCGCTTGATTTGATCTCATCCAAGACCGACTTCTTTACTTGCTCGGTGATTTGAGCAATGAGATCTGGGTCGACGACTCTGGCGGCATCAGATTTTTCAAAGGCATGTCCGATAGCACTCTTCAACGGCTGCTGCATTGGCTGCGAGCCACTGTCGACACTATGGCGGTCCCAGGCCAGACTGGTGTCACGAGGCTGATAGTCAGACCCATCGGTGCCAGTGCGAGACTTGGGTCTTGTGCCATAGTCGGGGCTTCTGCCACGGTCGTAGTATTGTTTGTCGAAAGGCGAGACGTAGGAGCCGTTGTGGTGGTCGGGCTGGTCACGGTAGGCCATGCTGGAGCCCAATGGCAGGTGCTCGGGAGCACCTGCAGTATGACGTTGCTAGGTGGGAGTTGTCGAGTAGGCGAGCGTTTGTGGAGCGCAGCGAATAAGTGCTGCTGCTATTGCAGAATTCCCATGCAGGCGCGATAGTGACAGGTTGCTGGAGAGGACAGGGAAACGGATATGTGGGCACGGAAGGAAGAAGATGTTGGAAGAAAGGCTGTGGTCGCAAACACGGCTCAGCCCGGTGGATTGCCGGCTTTTCGTTTTCTAAGGCAGCGATACCCTGGACAGAGGAGGAAGGAGGAGAGTTCACAAGCAGCAGGTAGGACAACGTTATCTTCAGCGAAGTTTGACTGGCTGCGCTGAGCCATCTTCTTCGTGCGGCGCCATGGGCGTGCCGCAGACTGGGATGTAGGCGACCTGCTGTCTGCGTCATACGCAGGCCTGGGAATGGAAGAACGTCATCACGTCTATTAACAGTCAACTCCAACCGAGTGGCAGGATGGACAGGATCATCAGGAGCAGCAGACCTGGGGACACGAGATTCGCGGAACGAGGGTGATTATGTTTGTTTGGTTCAGTAGTCTACGCAGTCGTCATGCCTAGCGCATGTCAGGACGGTGGTAGCGACGGCTGTCAGTGACGCGGCGTGGTTCCGCCGTTTGCATGTCTTTTGTTTCAACCGCACGGCACCACCAGCTGCTGGCCACTGCGCGCCCGGGTTACAGCATGACAGTCAACCCATTCATCCCCGCTCAACTTATGAGAAACACGGGCAAAAGGGGTGCGGGTGGCATGGGATGCTCTATCAGTCAGGGCCGGCTTATGCGCATCGGGGCGGTTACCGGAATGCGAGCGATGTGCAGAGCGGCGGCGAGGCGGGCGATGTGAGACACACAGCATCTCGGCAGGCGCCAGACTGGCTGTTGTCCCGTACGTGTACGCGTGCTCCGGCTCAGCACGCTGTAACGCGCCAGGCAGACTCAGCAAACAGAAACGCGATCACATCGCGAATCCCCCAGATAGATAGGCGTCGACAGGCACTGGGGTGAGTAAAGGGCCGTGTAGCTATTTCAAGCCGACGAGGCTGTCCCTGAGCGGCCAAGATTATATTAAACCGCGAGGCAGCCATGGGCTAGTCGCCAAAACGGTGCTGGCCCTGAATAGCGCCCGCAGAGCTTCACGACTCCACCGCGCATCAACAACGACGCGTTTGCATGATGCTCAATAGCCGTCTTTGATGAGGTCGCGAAAAGCTACCTGGGCGCTCGCGACATGTGTGTGCTGTCTGCGGGCGCTGACAAAGACAAACCCGTGTCCGCGACGCAGTCATTGGGCGGAGGGCCGTAGTCGGTCGGCCTGGTTGGGTTTAGCTGGCACAGGTCCCAGACTCTAGTCGTTTCAGATCTCACGGCGGCCGCGAGCCATGGCAAAAGGTATCTCTGCGCTCGCGCTCGCTCCAGCAAAGACGACGGGATCATCCTCTGTTTCGAGACCGTGTCTTGTTTCCCTATCTAATCGACGTGTTCCGTGCCCATCTTCCCGGGGGGCAACGCGAACGCCGTAATAAAGAAGGCCGAAACCCCCATTCCACAAAGACAAGGCCGTCCGCCTGCAACCCACCTCACCCCATCCCACGACGCCTTGCACCCGCATTCAGCATTCCTCAGACGCCGCCCTTCTGAGTGACCCGACCGAGCTCTTCCAGCACGCTTCCAGTCACTCGCAGCCTCTTATATCGTTGTTGCGACCCCCGGCCTAATACGCTCTCGGTATCACCATCCAAGCTGCTCCCGTACCACGTCCACAACCACATCCATACCTACCTTCACCGCGCCCACCATCTTATCACGCGTAGCATTCTCATGATGCATATATGAGATATAAGAGTAGACAGACCGACACGACCGCCCGCCCGCCCGACCGCTCCGCCTGCTCAGCTCACCGCCCACAACCTCTCTCCAACACACCTAGGACAAGACATGGCCATGCTTGCCGCAAAGTCTCCGTATCCCGCACCCTCCATGAGTGGCAGCGCTGCACAATCTTCGGCCCAGTACAATGCCGGCCTCTCCAGTTACCGCAACCATGCATCAAACACCCGAGCCGAGCAGTCAATGTTTGCTTCTCCCACCGAGTCAGAGTTCTCCGAAATATATGATGCCCCCGACGCCATCAGGTGAGCTCTCCTTGCCGACTGACTTTCACCTACACCGCTAACATGTGCAGACATTGGGACGAGGACAAGGTTGGCGACTGGCTGAAGCGTATCAACTGCGCCCAGTATGTCGACCTATTCAAGCACAACCACATCAACGGCGAGAACTTGATGGAGATGGACCAGACCCATCTGAAAGACATGGGCATCAAGAAAGTCGGCGACCGCGTCCGCATCGGCTCACAGGCAAAGCAATTGCGCAACAAGGAGTACAAGAAGGCCTCAAGAAGGACATCAAACAGGCAATCGCTTGCTACCCTTGACAACGCAGCATATACTCCACCTTCCTCCGGCTCTCCTCGACCCCTTCACTCTGCACGATCAAATCCTCCTCCGACCGCCTCCAACCCCGTAAGCTCGCGATCCGAGAAGCGCATGTCCAGGCAAATCATGAACTCCGACCTCAGCAGCTATGCATACGGTGCCAAACCTCCCTCGCGTCCTGGCTCTCCTCTTGTTGACCAAGAGACCCGGAGCCTTCGCTCGCAACGTCAAGGTGGAATGAACAGCCCCAAGGAGCTTGGTAACAAGACATATGGCGCACATCCCCTCAGCGCTTCCAGCAGCGCTGTCAACATCACTTCACAGTACTCTCGTAATCAACGCACCACACCTACCGAGACACCTCAAACGGCCCGCTTCGCTCACCATGTTCGCGCCAGTCCTAGTGTAGATAGCGCTACGAACAGCGCCATCCTGCCACATGACAAGGCTCTCGTGCGTGTCATCTACGATGGCGGACGAACCTCGGTCGTGAACATCGAAGGCTGCAAGACTGCTGAAGAGGTGATGCTCAAGACTCTTACCAAAGGTCATCTCAACACTGCTCATGTTAAGAACTACTGCTTCTACATCCTCAACAGCGGAGAGCCGGACCCCTCGCTATCTGAACGCTTGAGTGACATCGAGCTTTTCAGGCTTGTCAAGGATGCGAATCGACATGAAAGGGGTCGGTTAATACTCCGCAAGGTCCATGCTGGAGAGCCCGACGAGGATCAACTGAAGGCTGCTGCCGGCATCTACCAACAACAGAACTTCCAGCAAAACTCCACCGTCTACGTACCATCCAGCAACCGCAGCCAGATCAAAATCGAGAAGCTGACGGGTGAATCCCTCGCTGCTGTCAGCTACCCTCTGTCGCCAACGTCTGCAAGGGAACGAGAACGCCACATCAACTCGACAGCTCAAAATCTGGAGGGGCCTGCCGACCCTTCGAGGTCGCCCATCTTCCATGCTCGTGCCCGAAAGCTTAAGCAGTTCTACGGTGCTCGACCTCCCAGCGAACTCATCACATCTGACCTGACCTCCTACTTCCCTGACGTCGGAAAAGATGAGATTGACAAGACCGTCCGCATGTCGATACGTCGTTCTCACCGACTCAGCCGCGCGGCTTCGCGTCTCTCAATGGCATCCAATTTCAGTGTTGCCTCTAGCTTGAAGGATGCACCACCACTGCCGTCCATCGCCGACACTTGGCTCCAGGGAGGTGCCCAAGCCCGACCACTTCGCCCACTCTCAGTCATGAGGTTGGGTCTACCTAATCAATCTGGTTACCGTGATTCTATGGCATCTTCTGTCTTGGAACCTCTGGATGAAGAGTCACCCCTCGAGCCAAACCGAAAGTCATACGTCTCGTTTGGTGGTGACAGTGGCTCGGATACTCTTGCCATCACAGATCCCGACGGCAACACCACTCTGCAATCCTACTTCGACGACGGCGGTAGCAGCCTTGCAGGTAGCAGTAGCAGCAACACTGAAAACGGTGATTCACTTAACAAGCGCCTTTCTGAAGCCATAGCTGAGGATGGCGAAGAGTCAGATGACGAATTGGCCGAGTATCTGGAACAAGACTCCTGGGACAACGTCAAGTACATGAAGGGCGCTCTCATCGGACAGGGTTCTTTCGGAAGTGTCTACCTTGCGCTGCATGCCGTTACTGGTGAGCTCATGGCCGTCAAGCAAGTCGAGCTTCCTTCGGTAGCCGGTGCTTCCCAGATGGATCATAAGAAGACGAACATGGTCGAAGCTTTGAAACACGAGATCGGCCTCCTTCGGGAGCTCAAGCACAAGAACATTGTGCAGTACCTTGGCTCCAACTCCGACGAGAGCCACCTTAACATTTTCCTCGAATACGTTCCGGGTGGTTCCGTGGCGACCATGCTGGTCAACTACGGTCCCCTCGGCGAGTCTCTTATTCAGAACTTCGTACGCCAGATTCTCACTGGTCTTTCTTACCTCCATTCACGAGACATCATCCACCGAGATATCAAGGGCGCAAACATCCTTGTCGATAACAAGGGCTCAGTCAAGATCTCCGATTTCGGTATCTCTAAGCGTATTGAAGCCTCGACATTAGGCGGTGGTAAGAAGGGAGCCCAGCGTGTCTCCCTTCAAGGTTCCGTCTTCTGGATGGCACCAGAAGTCGTTCGACAAACAGCCTACACCCGCAAAGCCGATATCTGGTCGCTCGGCTGCCTCGTAGTAGAGATGTTTACTGGCAGCCACCCGCATCCCAACTGCACTCAACTCCAAGCCATCTTCAAGATTGGTGGCAGTGGCGATGCCAGCCCTACAATTCCTGATAACGCTGGCGACGATGCTCGAACATTCTTGGCGCAGACCTTCCTCATCGACCACGAGAAGCGTCCTAGTGCCGACGAGCTTCTAGCCAGTCATTTCATAACTAACCAGGGTGCATAAACTTTTCTTACATACGGCGCACAACATATTTCTAGCATGGGACGGGGAAGCATCATCGGGGTTCTAGCATGGGCGTTCTTTTTCCTTTTTAACGCCCCTAACGCTTACATGCGCGAATGATTCTGTACTATACCACTTTCAATACGCTTTTCCGATAGGAGGAAAGGAAGGTGCTACGCAGCATGTTTAATATACTGCTGATCAGTAATGGGTGCTTTGGATGGATTCAGGCAGTTTGTATCATAGCTGTCTACAAGATCTATTTTCAACACTTTCCACAATAATAATCTTCACCCATGATTTCCCGATGTGTCAGAATCAATTGCCATTGCATGAACTTTACGACTATCCACGATGACGTATCCTCCGAGATTAAGTTCGGTGGCTGAAGCTGCCACAGTCGCATTACTACAAGTTGTATCCACCGTCCCATTATTTTTCCTTTTTGTCAAGATCAGAATGCAAAACCACCGAACGTATCACTAGGACTCTATCCACCTTTGTTTTACAATCGTCGTTGCAGCATCCGGCTTATCATCTCGGGAGATTAGTATCGCAGCATTGAATAGTATTCCATCCTTTGTTTCCTTTTTCTTTTCCACCGTATCACTAAACCGAATCCCTTATCTTGGCAGCGACTTCGCGTAATGCTGTTGAGCTGCACAGGAGTATATAGTCACGACCACTGCAGGTCCCATTATCCGCAAAGAGTGGAGCTCGGCGCTCTGGAACCACGGGCAATCATGGCTTCCGAAATGCCTGCCATGAATGGAGACAAAATCAAATCCATCACGGAATCCAAGATGTCCGACTTTGCGATCAATGTTCCCCCGACTATCGCCCAACGGCACGGTCGCTAACCCCACATCCGTATCCCGCTTGACGTAGTTCCGGCGCTGGGCGCGTTTCCTACCTCCAATTGCGGGGTAAACTTGACCTTGATCACGCGTACTTGGTTGCCTCGGCTTCGGTTGTTATCTGATAATAATCTTAAGAGTAAGTAAACGCGTAGAGCTTCCGTTTGGACTACGTGAAGCGGTCCGAATCTGCTGTGTGCGCTATTGGTCCGGTAGGTGAATTGAGTGGGGAGTGGGTTTGTATAATGGACTACCTCCAGGCTGTGGGTGGAGATAAGGTAGGTAGCTTACGTAGAGTAAGGGTAGTGTGCTTAGTCGGAGTGAGGGAGTCTGGATGGTGGCTCGTGGGTGCGGGGAAAGGTATATGTACGGTGTTCTCTGTCAGTTTTCGTTGGTTCATCTTCTACTCATCCATTCTAGTCGCTCTTCCTCCTCCTACGTATCATCTCCTACCCATACTTCCTACGCCTAATAGTACAACATACAATTGCTCAAGATGTCCCTCCCCGCCAAATACAAAGCCGCGATCTACGATGCGCCCGGCTCTATCTCAACCAAGGTTGTCGAACTGGAGATGCCCCAGCCGGGCGCGGGTGAAGTCTTGATCAACCTCACGCACTCCGGTGTCTGTCATTCCGATCTGGGTGTTATGACGAACTCCTGGAAAACGCTGCCATTTCCCACTCAGGCAGGGCAAGTGGGTGGTCATGAGGGTGTAGGAAAGATTGTAAAGATGGGTCCTGGAACAGAGAACTCAGCAGTCAAGATTGGAGATCGCGTGGGAATCAAGTGGATGGCGGGAATTTGCGAGGCGTGTGAGGCTTGTAGAGCGGGAATTGATGCTTCGTGTTTCTCTGGTGTAAGTTTAGCTCGTTGCTTTGTTGAAAATCGAAACTGACATATGTTATAGAAAGTATCGGGATACTACACACCAGGTACCTTTCAGCAGTACGTCCTCTCTCCTGCAAACTACGTCACACCCATTCCCGAAAGCCTCGATTCCGCAGCCGCTGCACCCCTCCTCTGCGCTGGTGTGACAGTCTACTCTGCACTCCGTAAGACAAATGCCGAATCGGGTGCTTGGGTCGTGATTGCTGGTGCTGGAGGTGGATTGGGTCACTTGGCCGTACAATTCAGTGCTCGAGGAATCGGCCACCGCGTAATCGGCATCGACCACTCTTCCAAGAAGGACATCATCATGGAGAGTGGTGCCGAGCACTTCATTCCTGTAGACGGCACAGAGAACATGGTCGAAGCCGTTCAAGCCCTCACAAACGGCCTCGGCGCACACTCTGTCGTAGTATGTACGCAAAACAACGCTGCGTACGCTCAATCAGTCGATCTACTTAGATTTGGTGGTCGAGTAGTGTGCGTTGGTATCCCTGAGGGCGATGTTGTGCCCATCAAGAGCGCGAACCCTGGTGTTTTAGTCGCCAAGTCGTTGCAGATTGTTGGATCAGCTGTGGGATCGCGGAAGGAGGCTATTGAAACCATGGAGTTTGCGGCACGCGGAATCGTCAAGACGCATTTCAGGACGGAGAAGATGGATAAGCTCACAGACGTATTCAACGAGATGCATGAAGGGAAGCTACAGGGCAGAGTTGTGTTGGATATGACTGAGTAGACGGGACCTTACATTTGGTATGCCTGCTGTGCAAAGATGCGTATCAATTGATGAACTTAGTGTTTGCGGAGGATCGCGCTTGGATCTAGGAATGTACAATGAGCAAGATAGGACAAGAATAATATAACGTTAAAGATACCTACAAGCCACCCTTCCCTTGATGCGGACATCTAACATATTCCGAACTCCATTTCCTGTTGTCACCAAGGCTGACTGGAGCTTGACATCCCTCCCCGCAGTTCAAGAAAATCGTTGAATCTAAGGTATTCATTGTACTCTTCTTGCAATTGTCGTCTGGTTTCCACACGCGCCCGTGATCTCTCAATCCGCCTGCTTTTTGAACAATCTGCGTGAGGCAAGATGTCAGATTCTGGGATCTTAAGGCAAAGAGACAGGCTGGATTTGTTGCTTACATTTGAATGGCTTGCACAGCCACTGCCTCAGCTTAGGCGAGGATAGAAGGCCAATCAAGATGCCAAGTGCTGCGATGCAGACACCAATCAGCGTAAGGATAGCCTCGTTCGATAACCCAACCGTTGCGTCCTGGGTCGATGCTTTCCCGCTTCGGTGCGTTAGGGCGGGCCTGAGAGGGCCGGCGTCGATATCGGATGCCCAGAGGAGCAAGAGCAGAACTTGTGAACATGATCGTGGCATCGCATTAAAAGGTATGTATAGGTCGAATGAGTATGGGTGTACGGAAGTGCGGAGTCACATACAGATACTCAGGGAGTTAGACTTCCGATGAGTCTATATCAACAAGAACTGTGAGCCGCCCACACTGATATATACTGAAAGTAGGTGGGATTACTTTCCTTTCATACCTCTTCGGACGCAGCGAATGTTATCAGCCTCATGCGCTTGCATACGGCGGCCGCGGGCACTGTCCGACCGGAGGCTGTGCAAACCCCGGCAGACGAAAGCGCTGGGAAAGCTTTGTATGGTAGAATCTCAACATGCGCTTCGACGGTAGCTAAGCGAGGCTATCTCTCGGCTACTGCACGAATTGCATGTTGTCTTAATTTCATGAGTTCGAAGCGGACAAACGTGGTACCTGACCGGTAAAGCCACGCTCGGTCAGGTCACACAGGCTGAGGTTCGTATTGCGCTATGAGTGGTTGAATCGTCTTGCGCGATGTACGCGTATGCTCAGTAGCTGTGCATTGAATGGGATATACCCGGTGCATAGGTTTACAGATGCCTAGCCAACCCATAAGGCGGTGGTGGAAGTATCGTATATTTCATGTTCAAATATGCGGCAAGGAAATTACGCCACGTAGATGACATCCGAAAAGGTCACAGCTTGCCACTTGGCACAGGGCAAGAGTGTGGAGGTGTGGAGGTGTGGATGAGAATTGCTTTTTTGCTACATTGCACGGATGGTCTGGGTGATACCAGATCCAAGTGGATGCGCACGTTCACTCAATATCCACTATTTCGAGGAAACCTGTTCGAAGCATCAAGATTGTGGTATATAAGGAATTGGGGCAGCTTTGAATTTGTCGATTCTTCGAGGTTGAAGAGTATACCGTGGAGTTCCATCCTCATACTTGTCGGGTGCGCTCGGAGTTATAAACGCTCTGACAACGGTACGCGGCTAGTTGTCGGTTTCGACCTACCTGACTTATCCACTGTCGGTATAAGATCCTCGTCGGGTATATAGTCTTTGAAGTTGTCGTTGATGCTGTCTCTGACGCCCACCTGGTTCCGATTTCTTGACTTCCACCTAGGCATCTCCCCATTTTCTGTCCGACCTACACCCATTTCTCTCCACTTCTTTGGAGGCTTGATTCCCATTTCAACCAAGTTGGACCATATCCTCTCTCCGCGCTTATTCCACCTCTCCATCCTCGCTTCGTATTCTTCGTCGGATGGTCGCCACTTGCTCTTGAGTATGCGACGAATGGCTTCGGGTGAGACTTTGAAGTGCTCTGCAAGGACGGGTGTGGTAAATTTATCGGGCTGTGTGCTGTGCAAGTGCCGTATGCCTTCCATGGTGTCGGGCGACAGCTTCTTGCGCGGGTTCCACGCCTCGCCTCCCAGTTTCTCTTTTAAAGCCTCCTTTTGCACTGCCCATGCCGGACGCTCATTCTTTCGTTCTAACTCTCCTGTGAGAGCATCTTCTACTTCGATTTCGGGGTCCGCTTTTGGTGGTTCCGCGGTGGGTATGATAGACGCTTTGCGCGGTCGACGCGCATCGGTCAAAAACCGCGATTGTTGCGGGTGTAGTATCGGCCTTCGAGCAGCGAAGAGTTGCTCGGAGTTTACGAAGGAGCGGATGAAGAGACTGAGCGTCGTTCTGGCGCAGTTATTGCAAGTCATGATGGGCGCAATGTTTGAGATTCGATGGTGCTCTATTCTCAAAGTTCATCAGATTATCGCACGGACCTGCACTTCTTGCCACAGGCAGGCGACTAACACCCACTTCACCACCAACACCATCATCGCAGAATCTAACATGCATCGTCGTACAGAATAGATCTATGCGCCTCCATATCATTTGGTGATACCTCCAATATTTTCTTATATAAATGTTCATTCAAGACACTGCCAGCTCCGTAGTCTCCTCATCTTGTCGCGATACAGCACCCCTCGAGACTCAGGCCCTGTTCGCTTGAGAGTCTCCAAGGCGATATGCCATTTTCGACTTAGCATTAGAAGCATTTGATGCAAGAGTTTGCCTGACAATCTCGACGATCTTTGCCTTACGTTCGTATCCTCGGTCCTTCTCATCTTGCGCATATCCTTGACAGCTTGAGTCCTGCCTTTCCTTCACAGCCATAAGGCTTTATATTTACCTATCATTAGTCTCATTTTCAATACTTTTCAAGCGCCCATTTTCGTATTCAGCTACTGATTCTCTCTGCTTCCTGTGTGTTGGACGTCAACTCCATCGTTGTACTGCTTAGGCGCTATGAAAGCCAAGACGATACCTCGCTTCCTGCGGCCTACTCTCGTCAATTCGAACCTATTTCGTCTTCTTCCCATGTACACATGAGATTGCAAAGGCCTCCGATAACAGACCGAGCGGTTGTGGAGCAAATAACGAAAACTGCGACAAGGTTGAAAAGTGCAGCTGGGTTCAGTGGCGTTTTCCGTTCGTTGGGATTATTTCTTAGTAGCCGGAGGGCGCACGACTAGTGTAGATGGGGGCCACAACGTCCTTGACCTTATCACCAAATGTAGAACGTTGTGCAGTTTGCGGAGCGCCTTCGGCGGAAGGCTTTCTATTGAGGAATGGAGGTTCAGCGATGATCAATTCGGCATATCGAAGAGGGCGACAACGGCACTTCAAATATGTGCCTATACCCTAAGTCCTGTCGATTAGTTTGGTATCTCTCTATTTTGAACTACTACTATCTTCCATTCATTACGAGCCATCAACCATATCCAGGATGTCTACACGATTTAGCCGGTTCTTTACCATCATAATTTTCGGAGCTTATCTTGTCATTCCGACAGAAGCATTCCCAGCTGACTCTTACACACCAAGACCTGAGCCTCGAGCCCTCGAGGTCACAAACGCAAAAAACCTCAGGCAGCACATCGAAGTCTACGGTATACCATACGGGGTTCTAGGCGCTGTCTCTCATGCCCTCACCTTTTACGTTATGCTCTGTCACTTCCTTGGAGTGAGGCCTTTGCTTCCGTGGATGGCACTCAAGAAAGAACGCTGGAATATCACCGTAGTCACACTCTCCTCGCTCGTCTCCGTCATCCTTGCAGGCGTTACCATGGCTCGCACACGAGGATCTCGCCCACTACTAATACTTGCCGGGATGCAGATCGTACTCCACGTTCTGGTGGACATCATCCATATACACTGTATGGTTAGCGATCGACGTAATTTTGCATGCTTCTGGGCGGTCCCACTTCTGGTCGTGTCGTTCTTCTCAATATTTGCTTTTTACTCATTCCCGTGTAAGTTACAATAACTTATCTTGTATACATCCAGGACTGATTCATGGATCACAGTCGAAGATGAAGATGGCAGAGTTGGAAGCCTCATCGGCTCTGCTATCTTTATTGTGTTGCTTGTATATATTGGGTTGACCGGGCTCGCGACCTTGATCAATATGCTCGTATGCATCTTCCGTCTATTTAAGCAACCTGCACCATTTGGGTTTGCTGTTGCAGCTATTCTGCTTAGCTGCGGGCTCTACTGGTTCGGTGATTTTGGCATGGCTATTGTGACAAGGAACACAATAGGGACGCCTTCGGACCGAATCAAGGTGCTCTACTATACATACTGGGTGGTGGAACGAATTCCACTATTCACCTTTTGAAGGGCAAGTTGGCTGCATAGTCAGAGAGTCGAGGAGTTCATACGATGTAGTTGTAATACTTGGTTGTATCCGGAAAGCGTTCGATTTAAGCTAGTACTAGGGTAAAACTACGTCCAAATCGGCTCCTCCTTCAAGCATTGTCCCCGCACTAGTAGGCGAACGGGTCTACCGTGAGTGGTGACATCAACGAACATATGTCAGTGCCTCTTCACGCTATCTCGACAGCAACGCTTCGGTGGCAGTTTCCTCCAAAGATTTCGATCGCGGGGCGAATGCGGCAAAATGGAAGTGGATCCCCTCGCACCCATGCGCGCTAGGGCCTCGGTATCATATGACGGAATATCCTCGCCGTACTTGTGCTGCAGTTCTGCTTCGTCCGTTATTTGAGCGTTTGGCATATCATCAGCGAAGTTTGTCTTTCCTGCACTCGTTTTTACTCAAGCATGGCTTTGTCGAACCCGTTTCAAAGGCGGACAGCCAATACCAGAGAGTATGTCCGGAAGTGGAAGACTATTGATCGCACGTACTAACCGCTATCAGCTGCTGGGGCTACCGGTTCGAGTGGACGCCTGAACATCTGACTCCGGAACAGATGAAACCTATGAAGTTTTCGTACGATGTTCTGGCAGAGGAATGTCTTGATCGTTTGAACGCTATCTCGCCACCGCACAAGGGTGCTTTGCCAAGGAACGATAGTAATCGTGCCGCGCTATCGTCAGTTCCGGGCACCGAGGAAGAGAAGAAGGAACCATTGCCGGTACCTAAGAGGGACCTCTACACTTTACTGGAAGAGTATCACGACTCCGATCCCAAGCTTGCAGAGCTTTGGCGCGAAGTACAGACTGTACCAGATTGGGTGGACTGGGACCAGATAGCAAGAGGGCAAGATGTGTTCTACCGATACGGTGGGCCTGCCCTGACTGGTCTTACTTTCCAATCGCTACTAGGAGGAATGGGCGCTGCGCGAGTGGTCGAGACATTAGCCCGAACTGGAGGCTTTAGCACAAAGGTCGCAAGAGGCAGACTCTTCGAAACCACACAGCATATCCTCCAATGCACACGAACACTAGACGGACTCAAACCAGGCGGGGAGGGATTCGCCTCGTCGATACGCGTCCGCTTCCTACACGCCGCAGTCCGACAACGCATCATGAAGCTCGCTAAGGAGCGACCCAGTTATTTCGACGTCGAAGAATGGGGGATACCGATTAACGATCTGGATCAAATAGCAACGATCGGTACCTTCTCCTCTACACTCATCTACCTCAGTTTCCCTCGCCAAGGCATATTCCTTCGGAAGCAAGAGATTGACGACTACCTAGCCTTATGGCGCTACATCGGGTACTTGATGGGCACGCCCGATGAATGGCTGTCGACCCCAGCAAAGGCAAAGGCTATCATGGAGTCACTCCTCTACCACGAAGTCGACCCCTCAGAAATGTCCAAAACAATGGCAAACAATATCATCTACGCCCTCAAAGAAGAGCCTCCAACTTTCTCCTCGGCAGACATGTTGACAGCCAGTGCACGCTGGTTAAATGGTAACGCGCTCTGCGACCGCCTCGGTTTAAAGCGCGTTTCCGCATACTACTGGTCGCTCATGGCTGGCCAATGTCTCTTTTTCATCTTCTATTGCTACACATATCGTTTATTCCCCGATGCGGATCGTAGACGAATAGATCGCGCAAAGGACATCTTCTGGCAGTTGATAGTGAAGGCGAAGTGGGGATTGGCAGGCATGGAAACATCATTTGATTTCAAGTATGTGCCACAATATGATACCTTGACACATCTGGGTAATATTGGAGAGAGGAAGAAGGTGTCTCTCAGTAATGAGCTGAGGAATTTGAAGGCGCTCGGGATTGGAGTGGGGGTGTTGGCTGTCGGGACGTTGGTTGCGGTCAAGGTTGCAGCGAGTGTTATTGGGAGGTTGTGGTAGCTTTCGTGTAGATACTTTGTTAGATGTGCGTAAGTGAAGGCACCTCTTACTTGCCGCACACCCCACCGCCAACAGTTATATTTTACCTATTCTTTCTCAACTATAACTTTGACGTCCTCATATCGCTATTCCTGACTGTTGTTCGCGCGACTGCAACAACAGGAAGATTCCCATACACTAATTACTTTCGGAACCCAAGACGTATCAGCACCAGCCGTTATCACAATGGGAAAACGCAAGTGTCCTCAGAATAAGAAGCAAGATGGCGTTTGTGGCTGCCCTTCGTTTTGGAGGCGCTCTAAAGCCAATCCACTATCCAACGTCAAGGACTTGTCTACACCAAGCACCAAGCTCCCTCCCGATACTATTATCATTGACAACGAGCTTGAGAATGACAGCGACTTGCATCAGCGAAGGCGACAAAAGCGAGAGCATAATGTCTTCCGTCAAGATGGCGAGGTAGGTCCTGCGAGATCGAAGCTCTCAACGTACACGAATAGCAAAGTCTTGATTGCAAAGCATCCTGGACACAAACAAGATATCGCAAAGATGAACACACGAGCACAGGAGAAGGCGGCCGTGAAGGAGAAGGCGAAGGCGAAGGTGAACACGCCGGTACGGATCTTGGTCGATTATGTCTTACCCACTGGTGCTGAGCGGTTGGATTGGGATACAGACGAAGTCCGTAGAATGGCTGGCGAGATTGAGGGTGGAGGATACAGGGCTTAGAATTGGATTAAGGTGACAGGCATAGGGAAGTGTTTGCGAACACGACTGGTGATCATCTGTCATATCGGACTTTGAAGTCCTTAAATGTTCATACAGAATGCAAATATCATAGCTGATGAAACACTAGTGTATATGCATTCTATTAGATGGGTATAGGTACTGCCTAGCGGAGATTTTGCGAAAAGTATGCAAGAATATGAGATGAGAGCCATAGCCACCATGAGCGTCTCCAGTTGTCACCAGACATATGGCTAAACCGAAATTAGTCAACAATCCAGGGGTGAGGATTTAATGTACTGACCTTGTTCTCATAAGTCCAGAAAGTACCACTGTGTTGTATGCCTTTGCTTTTGATGACTTCGATCATCTTCATGACCGACTCTTCTGGCGTGATTATGCCTTGGACTTCCCATGGCAGTTGGACGTTCGCCATGTCTGTTGCAACTTCCCCCGGGTGCATGCATAGGATGATGGTATCATCGTCTTTCCTCTTCAACTCAGCAGCCATATGTCTGACCGCCATGTTGAGTGCAGCTTTGGAGGCAGCATATGCAGCGAAGCCATCTTCCATTTCGCGGAAGTTACCTTGGGAGCCCGAATCACTGGACATGAATGTGATGGTGCCGATAGGAATGTTCGTTTGAAGTAGCTTCTGGGCTGTGATGATAGGCCCGATTGTGTTAGTGTGCAGATGGAAAGCGAACTCGTCGAACGATCTGCCAGATGTTAACCTTCGATACTACAAGTACCTGAGAGCAATTGAAGTTTATTGGAAATGCACGCTTTAGCCAGAACCAGCAAGGCGCAACGGGTTGGGTAATGGAGAACATACAGCTCAGTGGCCCTCTACATCGGTTAGTGCGGCTCCCTTGCATGCTGTCGACGATGTCGGACTTACATTCGGGTACCTTAGAACACCTGCGTTTAGCACGACATAGTCTATCTTTAGGTTCGGTATCATTGCCAGCTGCGCAACGAATTTCTGTACATGATCAGTTTCTGTTCATCTCAGATGGTACTGTAGCATTTAGTAGACACGCATACCTCGATGCTCTGCTCTGACAGAATGTCACATGTATACATTTGGCATCGGCCATGATCGCTCCCCGCTTGTCCCCACAAGCCACTGGCATGACCAGCCCAAGGCTCTCGTACAGTAGCGATGATGCGCTCGTTCTTATTTAACAGCTGTCTGACGAACTCTAGCCCTATGCCTCTGCTGGCGCCGAGTATTAGCCATGTGGTAAAGTCCTCGTCGGCATATAGAATGCCTGGAATCTGGTCCATTCGGTCTGTCGAGGTGTGGCGGGGCAAACGATGATGTCAACCGTTCAGCTGGGGCTGAAGTGTGACTGATCAACACTAGAAGGCTGCTTGTGACGAGGGTGGAATAGTGACGATCCTGGTCGGCACTTGAAATAGTAATGTGCTGCTGTCCAGATAACAGAGGACAATACTCATGACCCTGGCCCGTTATGTTAGGGGACCAGAAGCGTGGAGGTGCGCGGGTTAGTGGATGTCACATCGATTTGCGGACCCTTGTACAGGCTTCACATATCGTATTTGGTGCCAAAAGCAGGGACGGGGACGAAGCATCCTGCAGGGCGGCCAGATAGTCCAGACGCTTCTATTTCAACCACCGGAGAAAGAAAAGCTGATTTCTTTTCCCATGGTTGGCGGTACGGAGAATGCTGATTTTGCCCATAGCAGCCAGCGCAACATTTCTTAGATTGGTGACGGCATCACCTCACAAGCTCCACGCGAGATTGCCGAGTTTGTAGCAAAATAGTTTAGGGAGTCGCAGTGGGCGGCGTGGCGTGAAAGTACTAACGGCAAGTTGGCTGAGGAACAGAGACCAGATTCGGCGTCTGCACCGCCATTCCATCGCGATTCCTGTTTGCCATCCCGGACCGGTTCCACCCGAGCACATTTGCTACTGACTTATAGTTGTCATCTGATTGGCTGATCCCGTGACCCGTGCTCGCGTCAAGGCCCGTCATTTCATCGCGGCTAACGGCAGGATTCTTAAAACTCTCACAAGTCTCTCAACTCCTACTTCGCCAGTTTTTCTCCCAAGCAGACTCTCAACTACGACCACGACCACATTACCTCTTACCACTTCACCTCCACCAACACTTAATCTTACCAAAACCAACCTCACATCTTCAAAATGGGTTTCGAGAAGGGTACGTTTTCTTGACACCTGTCGGACGTCATCGGCCGTTTTCCACTTTGCCTACGAGCGTCCACCAGCCATTGAGCCCGCGCGCACAACGAGATGCGAACCTCATGAGCAACAGACTATCCGCGGCCTACTGGCTGGGTAGTGTGC